CGCCGTCGACGTCCCCGCGAGGCCGCCGCCGCCGGGGAACGTTCCGGGGGCGTACGCGCCTTGGGAAGTATGGTCGGGGTGGAGTTGAAAGGCGTCAGAAGCGGAGTTGAAAGGCGTCGAGGTGTGTCGGGATTGTGAGCGAGGGACCCTGGGCGGAGAGATGCGCCGGGAGAGAAAGTCCTTAAGGATCGGCGTTCACCACGCGAACGGGGTCGTACGGGGACCAGTGTGAAAAGAACGCACCCGCGGAGCCCTTCGGCGGCGGGTTCCCGTTCGCGGTCTCGCGCGCGATGATGTCCAACACGACGCGCATGGACGGCTCCGTCCCCGGGGGGATCTGGGCGTATATTCGCGACATGTACGGCGATTTCGGGAACGGCGCGACGCCGGCGCCGTCGCCGGATTCGAAGACGAAGCTCGTCTCTCCGGCGTCGGCGCGATGAGCGCGGCTGTCTTTCGGGTTCGCCCGCCACGCGTCCATCGCTTCCATCTTGACGTCCTCGGGGGCTAACCCTAAGCCGTCGAACGGATTGTACCCTTCCGCGCTTCCTTCGCGTTTTCCGACGTATTTCGTCCCTTCGACGGTGTACACGTACGGGTTCACGCCGTCGCCGTTGACGGCGTCGATATCCGTGGACCAGCCGAGGCCGGCGGGGACGAACGGCATGTTGAACCAGCCCGCGTTTTCGTGCAAGTCAAAGTTGAAGTTGATCGAGCAGTGCTCCGCGTAGCAGGACTCCGGGGGGTAGTGCTTGACGCGCGGCGCGCGGATGCCGAGGACGACCTGCGGGGTGTCCAGATACGCCTCCACGGTGTCCACGATTCTCGATTTACTCCACCGCAAGTTCAGCGCGAGCTCCGGGAAATTCTCCCGCGACCACTCGAACGCGGCGTGCTTATCCCACACGTCCCACGGCGGCGGGTCCAACCGGTACCGCGGCCGCCCCCCGATCAACACCACGTCCGGAGCTCGCTCCGCGTCGCTTCCGACCGGGTGCGGGAACGCGGGTTTGGCGTGCGCGGCGTTGGACATCGAGAACGGGTCCGCGCCGCCGGCGAGGTAGAGCTCGTACGCGATGGTCGCGTTGTACGCGACGGCCAGCTTATCGCCCAAGAACTTCCCGGGCGCGCGGAAGTACGCCACCTCTCCGGGCCGGTCGTTCGGCAGGCGATCCGTGAGGTACAGGTACCCGCTCGCGCCGTCCCACTCGAGGCCGCCGTCGCCGCCGCCGTCGGCGTCGCCGTCGCACCGGCCTCGGATCACCGCGGCGGCGATCGCGCCCGCGTCGGCGGCGCCGCCGACCACGGCGTCCAGAAGCCCCGGGCACGAGTTGTTGTGCACGCGCCACCCCTCGCTGGATAACGAAAAGTCCGAGCGAATCTCGCCGCCGTCCCATATCTTCTTGGAGCAGTCCGGGAGCGTCCACCCGGGGCGGCAGTGGCAGCTGCCGTCCATCCTGCAGTCGCCGTGGACGCACGGCGAGCACCGCACGGAGCAATCGAACCCGGTCCACATGACGTCGCACTTGCACGTCCCGTCGGCGAGACACGTGCCGTGGTCGAAATTACACGGCAAGCACTGCACGAACCGCGGGACGCTGCAGTCCTCGCCCGTCCATCCCGGGTCGCACTCGCAGTCGCCGTTGAACTGACACGTCCCCTGGTTGCACGGCTTGCACTTCGTGAAGCAGTCGACGCCGGTCCACCGCGTGCCGTCCGGGTCCGGGTAGCACGCGCACGAGCCGTCGCGTTGACACGTGCCGTGCGGCTGAATGGGTATCCCGCTCTGCGAGTCCACTGACTCGAGGAGGACGTCCTCGATTTGGTTCTGTAACTCCAGCGCGTTCTTCACGGCGACGTGACGGAAGCAGTCGCACATTTTATCGCACGCGGCGCCGTACCATCCCTCCACGCACTCGCACGTGCCGTCGTACTGACACGTTCCGTGCGTCGCGTCGCACGCTTCGCACTTGACGTCGCAGGACCACCCGGCGTAGCCATCCCCGGACGTCACGCCGTGTATGAGCTGATGCACGATCCAAATCATGTAATAGTCCGGATCTCGGATGTGCTGAAACGCCCCCGCGTCCCTGTCGAACCGACCGCGGCTCATCGTGTTTATGAGCCGCTGGCGCTCGTTCACGTTGTTCGCGAACCACACGTTCTCCGCTTCCGTGGACTGCAACATTCGCATCCGTTGGACCTCCACGCTCCCCAGCTCCAAGTTCCGCTCGCGGATGAAGTGCGACTTCACGACGTCGTCGCAGTCCCACGGCCTGACGGAGTCCCACTCCGCGCCGCACCCTTGCGTCGTCCTTCCGAACAGCTTGGCTTTCATCTTCTCGATGCAAGCGCCCGTCGTGACGACGTTCGTGGCGTCGGTGAAGTCGCACACCTCGTCCTCGGTCATGCTATCGGGGACGTTCTCGACGTCCGTCACCAGCGAGTCGCGGTACGCCTGCATGCGGTCCATCTCGTCGTTGACTTTGATCACCTCCAAAACGTTCGGCGTCGTGTACCGAAAATACGTCTCGTTGGGACGCGTCGGCAGATGCGTGTCCATCGTCCGCGTGTTGCACTCCTCTCTGTTCGGGCACTCGTACTCGAGCTCCCAAATGTAGTCCTCCAAGTCGTACGTGTTCATGTACACGGGGTGAACGTATCGGCTGCGTCGCCCGCCGTGGACTTCGTAAACGTGCTCGCCCTTCTCGAGATAAAACGGGTCGCGCGTGAGGCGCAACGCGTACGTCGACTCCCTCAGCCGACGCGAGCCGTCGCACAGGCACGTGCCGTCGTACTGACACATGCCGTGCTCGCACGGCTCGCACGGGGTCATGCATCGGTACCCGTTCCAGCCTTCGAAGCACGAACACCGCCCCGTGGTCGCGTCGCACACGCCGTTCTCCGAGCACGGTTCGCACGGGATCTCGCATGCGGGCCCGGCCCAGCCTTGAAAGAAGTAATCGTACCCCTCGCCCTCCTGCGACTTGGCGCTCGGGTGCTGAAACCGCTCGTTTCTGATCCCGTCGCACACGCAATAGCCGCCGTGCAGAGGCTGCCCTTCGTTCAAGTCGTCGTCCGATTCGCAGTACCCGCCTTGAATCTGCCCGTGTTTACTGAACGTCCGCTTCACGAACTCGTTCCGAACGTACTCCTGCGCGCCCGCGGACCAGATGAAGTACCCCATCGCGAACAACGGCGTGACGTGCGTCTCGACGCCGTTCACGAGCGATAAACACAGCCGCGTGCCGTTGACGCCGTCGACGAGGTTTCCGGGACATCCGAATCCGCCGCCGGTTCTCTCGTCCACGACCGTCCAAGGTTGGATGTCGTCGACGAACCCCTGACCGAGCGACCCGCACGTCGCGTTCACGAGCTCGCCGTTTTGATTGCACGGGTGCTTCGCCGCGCACGTGTGGAACCGCGGCACGTACGCGTTTTCGCCTAAATACTCCGCCGTCCACGGATACGGTAAAACCGCTTCTCTGAATCCGACGTCGCTCTCCGCCTCGAGCGGGCCTTGCCATATGTACCCGTAGTCGCACAGACACGTGCCGTCGTCCTGACAAGTTCCGTGGACGCAGTCTTGACACGTCATCTCGCAATCTCGACCGCGCGAGAGCTGGTCCGAGGTTAACCGGTAGTTGAAATCTGGTAAACCGGTGAATCCGTCCTCGCACACGATTTCCGCCGTCCACGGCGCGCCGTAATCCTCGTCCGATTCGTCCTTGACCACGCAGATGCCGTTGCTCGTGTTGTACGGGAACGGACACGGGTGGTCGCACATCGGCCCGGTCCACATGTAATCGCAGTGGCATCCCGCGGTGGTGCCGCCGAAACCGATGTTCGCGTCGAATCGCGTGAGCGAAAAATTCCCCCTCCGCCCGACGTACCGGTCCTTCGCGCCGTCCCCTTCGTACTGCGACGTGTACTTAAACGCGGGGGACCCGCACTCGATCGCGCACGCGTCGTCCGCGAAGCCGTGGTTGCACACGCACTCGCCGTACGACCCCTCGACGTTCGAGCACGTCCCGTTGAGGCACGGCTTACACGGCGTCTCGCACGACGGCCCGGCGAATCCAAACCCGGTGGTGTCCTCGCCGAAGCGTTGGTGAAACACCGCGCTCGCGCTCGTCGCGTCGTTCGCGACGTCCGCGCGGCACCGGCAGACCGCGTTCACGCCGTCGAACGTGCACTGCCCGTTGGTCTCGTCGCACGGCGCGCACGGGATCTCGCAAAACACCCCGGCGTAGCCGAAGCCGTCGAGTTCGTTCGCGACGCGCGCGAAGACTGAATCCCTCGGCACCGGTTCGCCGGTGTTGACATCCCTCGTGTACCCGCACGCGCAGTACGCGCGCGTCGACGTCTCGTTGTCGCCCTCGAAGCGCTCGCTCATGCCGTACAGCTCGAGCACGTCGAGCAGCCCGCTGTTAAGGTAGTTGTCGTTTCCCGGGACGCCCGGCAACGCGTCGAAATCAGCCGCCGTGTACGTCGCGTTAAACGACGGATACACGAGGACGCCGTTGCCGCTACACTCGACGTCGCACGTCGCGCCGACGAACCCAGGGAAGCAGAGGCACGACCCGTCCGCCTGACACGTACCGTAGTCGCACGGCGCGCACGCGACGGAGCAGTCGTCGCCGTTGAAGCCTAACCCGCCCAGGACGTTGGATTGCGACATTCGACACGCGCAGACGCCCGAGACGTTCGCCGCGGCGATTCGCGCCTCTCTCTGCGCCGGCGACAGCTGCGGGTCGTTCGCGATGGCGTTGAACGCGGCGCCGTGCCCGGCTTCGGCGCCCGCGGGCGGGACGCAGTCGCCGTTCCCCGCGTCGCACGCCGGACACGCGATCGTGCAGTCCTCGCCGACCCACCCGGGTTCGCAAAGACAAACGCCGAGGAATTCATCCGCGGTTAAGCCCGCCGCTAAGAGGTTTGCGTCGACGGCGCACGTCCCTCGCGCGAACCCGCCGCGCGCGCACGGGCACGGAATCAAGCACCCGTCGCCCATCCAAAAGTCTTCGCACAAACACTGGGTCTCCACGACGTCGTACGAAGACGTCGCGTCGTTCCAGCTCGCCTCGGAGGCGTCCGTTAAGACGCACTCGCCGCGCGCGGACGCGTCGCACGTGTCGCAGACGACGTCGCAGAGACGCCCGGCGACGCCCTTGTCGCACTCGCACGCGTGCGTCGAGGAATCGTACACCCCGCGTCCGTTGCACGCGACGTTACACGTCGGCCCGGAGAACTCCAGGTCGCACTCGCACTCTTTGTGTCCGGTGCTGGCGACGTAAAACGTGAGGTATCCGTGGTCGTTGCACGGGTGCAGCTCGCAGTCGTCGCCCTCGAACCCGAGGTCGCACACGCACGCCTCGGGGTCGCCCGTGCCCAAGATGTCGTTCACGTCTCTCGCGCCGTTGCCGGAGCACTCCGCCGGCGTCCTCTGGTTCTCGTCCCGCGCCGGGTCGCCCACTCGAGTCACTTCGCTGACGTTCACCGTGGCGATCGCGGTGGAGACCGCGCCCGCGTCGTCGGTGATCTCGAACACGAACCGTCGAACGCCGCCGGTGAAGAGCAACTCCCGGGTTTGCGGCGACTGAGAACGTCGGGGCGGAGTTTTAAGGCGTCAGGGGTGGAGTTGAAAGGCGTCGAGGTGTGTCGGGGTTGAAACCGTGGCGTGGGCGCAGAGATACACACGCCGGGCGAAGAAACTCCTTAAGGATCGGCGTTCACCACGCCAACGCGGTCGTATGGGAACCAGTGCAACATAATAGAACGCGCCTGATTCGTGATGACGTTCACGCGGCCCTCGTTGACGTATCGCGCGCTGGCGAATATCCCTCTGTACGCCTCGAGCGTGTCCGCGCCCTCGAGCGTAAACGAATTCGAGCTCGCGTCCCACGCCCCCGTGACAGAGCTCCCCTCGAGCGTCAGCGTGACGCGTTCGCCCGCGCCGTCCGGAAACGCGGCGCCGGGGACGTCCGGGTCGTAGTAGACGCGGCCGCCTGTTGACGCGAGGGCGTTTGGCCGCGCGGAGCGACGAACGTCGGGGTGGCGTCGAAAGGCGTCAGGCGGAGTTCATCAAAGGCGTCGCGGCGTGTTGCGATTGAAAGCAGCGCGGGGTGATGGGCGAAGAGAAATCCATCCCGGGCAAAGAAAATAAATCCTGAAGGAACGGCGTTCACCGCGCGAACGCGGTCGTACGGGGACCGGCGCGAGATGGATGGTAGAACGAACGCGCCTCGGATGAATCGCCCGTCGTCGTCTTCGACGTGCGCGTCAGCGTCTGCGAGCGCGACGCCCAAGAACCGCTCGTTCTCCCCCATCACCGCCGCGTAGTCCACCCCCGGTCTGTGCGCGCCGTTCAAATCCAAAATCGCCGGGTTATTCACCGGAACGATATCGACGAGGAACGACGCGGGCGCCGACGCCTTCCCCGACGCGTCGTACACCGTCAACGAGATCCCGCGCGTGGTGTCGTCCGGTCTCTTCCCCGCGTGCGCGTACGTCACGTTACGCAGCGCATCTCGCAGCGCGTGCGTCGTCGGCGCGTCCATCGCGTCCAGAAGCTCCTCCCCCCGTCGAAGCGCCGCGTCGAGGACGAGGAGCCCGTTCGCGAGGTCCAGGCGCGCGGCGATCCGTTGGCGCCGCGCGATTTCGTCCATCGCCGTCGCGCGCACGTCCGCGAGGTTCACCCCCGGGCCGGTCCCTCCCGCGGTGTTCGTGAGTGCCTTGACGTCCGCGAGGTTCGTGAGACTCGCGGCGGCGTCCTTCGCGTCGTCGTCTTCGGCTTTTTCTTCCTCCGCCCACGCGCCGTAGAGCGCGTGCCACGCCGCGTACGTCTCCGTGAAGCCGAGGCGCTCGAGCGGCGCGTCCAGCGGATTCGTGATGACGACGACCGCGCGCACGAGAGGCGCGCCGCCGGCGACGCCCGCGTCGAGCGACGCGCCGGTCAGCGCGACGGGCGCGTCGCCCTCGGTGAAGACGTGTCGGTGGACGGTCCCGGGGGGCGCGGCGGCGTCGACGACGATCTCGGGCGGCCTCGCGGCGGCGACGAGATGCGAGGGGGGCGCCGCGCACAGGAACGACAACGAGATCGACGCGAGCGACAGAAACGCCACGCGGAGGAGAGACACGCCGCCGCGGCCGGGGGCGCCGCCGGGGGCGCCGCGGTCGCGCGTCCTCGCTCGCATCTCCGCGTCGACGTCGTCTCCTACGCGCGGCGACGCGCGTCTCGAAACCCCATGACGTCGACGGCGCTTCAACTCCGTCGCGCGCGCGCTTGTTGTTCGTTCGTTCGTTCGTTCGCTCACGCGGCCTCTCGGGCACTCCCTTCCGCCCTCTGAGCAGACGCGCTGGGTGGTTTTTCACCCGCATTCATCATAAATCGATCGCGGGGGGTTTCCGATCAAAAATGCTGAAAGGGTATTCTTCATCGCAAGAGCCGATCAAACGTCCGAGGTGCCTGCAGCACATGTGCCGTACGTAAAACGATCTGATGCGCGGGGCGACGTGCCATCGTCGGTCGCGCGGGCGCGCGCGCGCGGGGCGGAGCGTCGCGGAAGATGAAGAAACTCTTCGCGCGCCTCCGCGCGGGACGGAGCGTCGTCGTCGTCGCCGCCGCGCTCGTCGCGGCGACGGCGGCTCTCCTCGCGCTCGCGCTCTCGCCGGGTAAGATCCTACCCGAGGTGCTCGCGCCCCTCGGTCTCGTCGGCAGCGCGCAGTACAGGCAGATGCGCAAGGTGACGCGGTCCAACTACTCGCACTTCCTGCGCGATCTCGTCTTCAGGTGCGTCGCGAGGGACTGGCCGCGACGACGCGCGGTGCGCCTGGAGCGATGGATGCTGGACCGCGAACCCGCGTTCTTCGAGCGCCTCGAGAGGAGGCTCGGGATGGCGTTCGAGGTGGTGCCAGACCGGGTTAGGCGCGTTCTATACACTGGTCCCCATACGACCGCGTCGGCGTGGTGAACGCCGATCCTTAAGGACTTTTGCCGTCGTTTCTCTCCATCAACCCCTCGCTTTCGATCCCCGACCTCGACGCCTTTCAACTCCACCTGACGCCTATGAACTCCACCCCGACGTCGCTTTGTATGGAACGACCCTTAGCGGCCTCTGTTCGAGTGGGACGCGGTGTTGCACGTGTGCGGGGTACGTAACGCGTGACGCTCATGCGTTATTTTTTTATTGTGTATTGTGTTCCGCGCGCGATTGGTTGTTTCTCCCTTTTCTCTCTGTTTCCGTCCGTCCGCGCGCTCGCCGACACTCACGCGCCTCACCCGTCCGTCTTCCTCGTCCTCCTCCGTCCCGCGTCCGCAGCCGTTCTTTGAGAAAAATTGCACGAGCGGCGACCCCGCCGTCGCGAATCTCATGGGCGACGCGTTCCGCGACGGCGACGAAACGCATCGTGAAGACGGAGCGTCGCGGAAACAGAAGAAGAAACCGAAACGCATGGTGTGGCTGAGCCGCGGGAAGGACGACGCGCGGCGCGCGATCGTGAACGAGGAGAAAGTATACGACGAGCTGAGCGAAAAGGCGTGTTGCGACGGCTCGACGGGAGTCGGACCGTTGGAGTTTCTTCGCGTCGGCGTCGACGCCGGGAAACTGGGGAGAGATCCGATCAGCGAGCAAGCCGCGATGTTCGCGGACGTGGACGTCCTCGTGTCGCTGCACGGCGCGGGACTCACGAACATGCTGTTCATGCCGCGCGGGGGGCTCGTCGTGGGTGAGACTGCTTCCCATACGACCCCGTTCGCGTGGTGAACGCCGTTCCTTAAGGACTTTTCCCGTCGTCACTCTTCACCCGCGCTTCCCTTTCAACGTACGTTTGACCGGTAAGACGTTCGACTGACCGATCGCTTCACCCACGCAGAGATCATGCCGGGGACGTACGAGAAGCCGACGTACCGCGGGCTCGCGGGGCTGTTAGGGCTCCGGTACGAGCGCGTGTACACGGAGGATATAAAGCCGGGGATTTTAACGCGCGTGAAGTATGCGTTTAATTCACCCGAGGACAGAGAGCGGAAGTTTAGAAGGGACGCGCTGATCACGATGCAGCCGAAAGAGGCGGCGGTGATTGAAAACATTTTAGCCAAGGAGACGTCATGAGAACGTCTGATTGATGAGAACATACCCTCACTACGAAACGCGCGCTGTACCGCCGTGATGACCACGCGCGCTCCGCTCGCTCACTCGCCGAAGTCCACCTCCCTGGCGCACTTCCTCAGCAGCGCGTCCACCGGCTCGTGCCAGTTCTCGACGCGCTTCGCGACGCGGCACCACGCCTCGCCGTGCTTCGGCGCCGCCTCCGCGCACCGCTTGACGACGGCGTTCACCGCGTCTTCGTCGCCGTGCCGCGTCTCAAACTTAAAGTACGCGGCCCAGTGGTCGCCGACGTCGGGGTTCAGCGTCACCGCGCGGTTGAACCACCCGCGCGCTTTGTCCATCTTGCGGTCGAGCCAAAACAGGTTCGCGATCGATGCGATCACCGCCGGGTCGTTGTCGCACCGCTTGAGCGCGTCGACGGATTTCGATTTCCGCTGCGGCCGCGGCGCCATCCTCACCGCCTCCGCCCAGAGCATTCCGGACGCGGGACACTCCTGCAACGCCTTCGCCATGAGCGCGTCCGCCGCGCGGTCGCTCTCGGGGTCCACGCCGACCGGTTTCCCACCGCGCTCTTGCCGCGCCGCGGTGAGCCACAGCGTCTCGTTCGCCGGGTTGCGCAGACGCGCTTGCTCCAGGACGGCTCGCGCCTTCGCCGGCGCGTTGCCGCCATCGGGCGACGCCTCCAACGCGGCGGCCGCGCACCACAGCGGGATCGCGTCGGGGCATCGTCGCGTGCCCTTGGCGTACGCGTTTCGCGCGGCGTCGACGTCGCCCTCCTTCTCCTCGAGCTGCCCGAGCATGATCCACATCTTCCAAAACTGAGGCGCGTTCCATTCAAGCGAACGTCGGGGTGGAGTTGAAAGGCGTCAGAAGCGGAGTTGAAAGGCGTCGAGGTGTGTCGGGATTGAAAGCGAGGGACCCTGGGCGGAGAGAGAGGACGGCAAACGTCCTTAAGGAACGGCGTTCACCACGCCGACGCGGTCGTATGGGAACCAGTGTAAGATAGAACGCGCCTGCGGGAACTTTTCCAGACCCTCCGACAGCAGCCTTCGCTCGGCGGCGACGTCGCCGACTTCGCGCTCGACGACCGCGCTCTTCATCCACACGCGCTCGCTCGCGCCGCCCTTCTCTCGCGCTTTCGCGAGCAGCGCGCGCGCGCGTTCGGGCTCGCGGTTCTCGAACTCGAGCTTGAACGCGGCGAGCCAGATGTCCTCGCTCTCCGAGTTGGCGACGAACGCCTCTTCCAAGATGTCGCGCGCGCCCGCGACGTCCCCGGCGAGCCACCGCTCTTTCGCCGCCATCAGCCACAAGATCTCCGCCTGCGGGCAACTCTGCACCGCGCGCTTCAGCACCTCGTCCATCGCCGCGATATCCCCCGCGGTCTTCTCCAGCGTCGCCGCGCGCACCCACAGCCCCTTCTTCGCCGGGAAAGTCGCCGTCGCGTGCGCGTAAATCGCGCGCGCCGTCTCGAAGCTCCGTCGCTTGATGCACTCCTCCGCGTCCGCTTTCCACGTCCGCTTTCGGTCCTCGTCCTCCACCCCGACGCCGATCGTGACGCGGACGATCTGTTTGCACGTCTCCGTCGCGGGCGGGTCCTGTTTCTCGCACGCTTCGGCCTCTTTGAGCCAGTGTTCGCGGTCGATGGAGACGCCGTGCGAGCCGAGCGATTTCACCGCGCGCTCGAGGATTTTGCCAACGCTCTTCGCGTTCCCGTTGGCCTCCTCCAACTTCGCCGCGGTGATCCAGATCGCGGGCTCCGTCGGCAGCGTCTCTCGCGCCTTGTTCAAAACCTTTCTCGACTGCTCGTACGACTCCAGGCGCGCGAGCGCGAGCCACAGGTCGACGTGCTGCGGGCAACATTCCACCGCGCGGGCGAGGAGCATTCTCGCGTCTTCTTCTTTGGACAAGTCGACGACGGCTTTCCACAGCCTCACGGAGTTTGGGATGTTCTCCAGCGCGCGGCGTAACACGCGGCGTTTCCTCTCGTCCTCCGTCTCCAACTGCGCGGCCGCGATCCAGATCTTCACGCTCTGCGGCAGCGACGCGACGCCGCGCGCGAGCACGGCTTTCGCGTTTTCCGGCGTGTTCAAACGCGCGGCTTCGATCCACACGTCCTCGCTCTTCGGGCACGCGTCGCACCCACGCTGGATGAAACTCCGCGCCGCCTGAAGCTTCCCGGCGAGCTCTTCCAACCTCGCCGCGGCGATCCACCCGGGCGCGTGCTTAGGGTTCGTGGAGATCACGGACTTGAGCAGCAGCCTCGCCTTCTTCACGTCTGACGAGGGTCGAGGGTCCGTACGAAGCGACCGAAGTCGGGGTGGGAGTTCAAAGGCGTCAGAAGCGGAGTTGAAAGGCGTCGCGGTGTGTCGGGATTGAAAGCAGCGAGGGGTAGTGGGCGGAGAGAAACGAACGCCGGGAAGACAAGTCCTTAAGGATCGGCGTTCACCACGCGAACGCGGTCGTATGGGAACCAGTGTGAGAAAGGAGAACGCGCCTGAGATCTCCGTCGACGACGAGATCTTCATGCTGCCGAGGTCCGTGAGGTAGCCTTTCGGATCCACGACGGTCTGACCGCTGACGCTGTCGGACAACCGATCGAGCTTGAGCCCGAGCACGGTCCCGCGGCCTTCGCCGACGGCGTTGAGGTCGGTCATCAGACCGGAGCCGCCGCCTCCGCCGCCGCCGCCGCCGCCGCCGCCGCCGAACGCGGAGGTCTCGCCGCCGCTCCCAACCTCGCTGACGCTCTGCTCCTTCTCCGCGAGCGCTTTCTGCAGCAGCGAGTCCGGCGCGGGTGCGAAGCGGTTCATGTCCTTCTTCTTCTTGATCGTGTAGTCGCCGATCTCCGGGATCGCGTCCCACTCCTCGTACGATACGTCGTCCAGCTTGCGCTTCAGATCTCGAAATTGCTCCGAGATCTTCGGGTTGTCTCTTCGGTACTTCGCGAGCTGCTCCTTGAGCCGCGCCTCGCGCTGATCGCGGCGTCTCGAGTCCATGTGCTCGTCGATGGACTCCCAGATGGCGTCCGCCTCTTTGTCGTCCTCGTCGTACTCGCCGCCGTCGCCCGCGAAGATTCCCGCGTCGCCGCCGAACTGCTCGTCGAAGACGGCTTGTCTCTCGTCGCCTCGCGTGTCGCCCATCGGGACGCCGCGGCCGGCGCCGCGGCCCGCGCCCGCGTCATCCTGCGGAGGAGGAGGAGGAGGAAGGGAGGAAGGATACCGGGGGAGGGAGGGGTCGTGAGCGACGACACAAACGGGGGAGGGGAGACGCGACGACGACGACGACGACGACGACGACGACGACGTCGATTCGCGACGAGAAGACGCATCACGCGCCTGCTGCTGCCCGAGCGCGGCGCCGACGGGCGGCGGAGCGGGCGCGCCCGGGCCGATGTCCGACCGGGTCGTGAACCCGGTCGCGCCGCGTCCGAGGCCGGCGACGTACCCCGACGGCGCGGCGCGATCGCCGAACGTCGGCGCGGTGTTCGTTCGACCCGCCATGGCGCGCGGTGATGCACTGACATGACGACGATGAGGGCGGCGCGCGAACTCGCGAAAAGCTCGTCTTCAAACGGCGCGCGCGTCGCGTCGTCGTCCGTCCCAAAAGCGTCGGTCGCGTCGTTCCTCTCCCAGTTCGCCGCGCGTCACCCGCGCGACCGCCCGTCGCGCCGACGCGATCGAGGAGAGACGCGTCCGAGCGCCGCGCGATCGCCATGGCGCGTCAAGCTCGCTTCCTCCCGCCCCAGACCTCCCCGCGAGCGCGCATTCGCGTCGCGTCCGCGAGGTGGACCATCCATCCGCATCCATCCGAGCGAAGTTTAATCATTACCACGACGATCGCTGACGACGCCGTCCGTCCGTTCCCTCGCGCTGCTCTCCCCGTCGTCCTCCGTCTCTCCGCAGTCCCCCGCGTCGATGCACGTGCGCGTCAAGCGCGGCACGAAGACGTTCTTCATCCTCGTCCACCCCTCGGAGACGATCATGGAGCTCAAGCAGAAGATCCAGAGCGCGACGGAGATTGACTTCCCCCCTACCGGGCTCCACATCGAGCGCCAACGCCTCACCTCCGGTCCGAACATGGCGCGCGTCCTAGAAGACCGCTACCAGCTCTCGCAGCTGAAAGTGGACAACGACCAGGTGTTAGCGCTGACGATACGCGCGGACGGGGAAGACGAGAGCGCGTACGAGGACGTCGTGATATGCGAGATCGGGACGCCGGAGGCTGAGGCGTGGATCGCGAAGGAGGAGGAGGCGCGCGCCAAGGAGAGAGAGGAGACGGCGGCGCGAGACGCGGCGGAGGCGGCGGAGCGCGCGGCGCAGATGAAACTCGACGACGTCGTGAATAGGGAGAAAGAAGGAGGAGGAGGAGGAGGAGGAGAGGGCGCTGACGGAGACGGTGACGTCGTCGCGGAGGGGGAGGAGGAGGCGGCGGCGAAGAAGGAAGAGGAGACCCCCGCGGCGGATGATGATGAGCCCGCGGCGGCGGCGGCGGAAGATCCCGCGGCGGCGGAGTAGATAGCAACGCGAGCGACGTCGTGATGAATCGAATCATCGTCACGGTCTATCGTTCGTTTCCTTTCGGTTTGGTTCGCGGTTCGTTCCTTCGACGACGGGGGAACAGACGGTTCGTTCCGTCACAACCCGAGTTCTATCGCGAGAGGAGTCTTCACTTTCGTCGTCGTCGTCGTCGTCGTCGCCGCCGGCGTCGTCGCCGTCGGCGGCGGCGTCGCGGCGACGACGGGCGCCGCCGGAGCCGCCACCGGCTTCGACGGCACGAAGCTGAACATCGACGGCGCGAAGACGGGCGCGGGCGTCGCCGCCGCTTCCTCCTCCTCCTCTTCCTCTTCCTTCTCGACGTCCTCGACGGCTGGCGCCGGCGCGACAAACGGCGTCGGCGCGCCGCTTAGCCGGCTGAGGATGCTCGGCTTCGTCGTCGTCGTCGTCGTCGTCGTCTCCGCCGCGGGCGCGGGCGCGGGCGCGGGCGCGAGGAGCGAGAACCCCGCGAACGGGTTCGGCGCGGCGGGCGCTTTCAGCGCGGCGTCCGCGGGCGACCCCCCCGTCGCCGTCGTCGTCCCGCCGCCGCCGCCGCCGCCGCCGCCCGTCGGTCGCCTCGCGCGAACGATCTTCCTCGCCGATCGGTCACCACCCGACGCGGGGGTCGCCGCCTCCACGGGATCGCCCGCTTTCCTCCTTCCCTCGTACTTCTTCCCCTTCATCTCCGCCGCGAGCTGCTCCTTCTCGCGCTCGATCGCTTCTTCGCGCTCGCGCGCGATCCTCTGCGCCTCCACCTGCCGCTTCGCTTCCTGCGCGGGTGAAGCGATCGGTCAGTCGAACGTCTTACCGGTCAAACGTACGTTGAAAGGGGAGCGCGGGTGAAGAGTGACGACGGGAAAAGTCCTTAAGGAACGACGCGCACATCGCGAACGGGGTCGTATGGGAAGCAGTCTCATCACCTCCATCTGCGCGCGCCAGTCGTCCTCCGGCGCGATCGCCGCGCTCGACGCGAACGGGTTCGTCCCCGCGGGCGCGGCGCCCTCCTTCGCGGCCCTGCCGAAGTAATTCTCGCACTCCCCGCCGTCGGTACCCCCCGGCGGGATCTCGTCGTCGGTCCCTCCCGTTGGGTCGATCGATCCGCCGTCGTCGGAGACGCTGTCGTCGTCGAGCGCGATGACGGGCTCGTCGTCGTGGGGGGCGTTGTCCGATCGCGCCATCGCGACGCGGTCTTCGAGACGACGACGACGAAAGAAGGCGACGACGACGACGACGGCGACGACGCGGCGAACGGGGGGGTGCGGCGCGCGAGCGCGGCGCGACGCTCTCGACCGGCCGCGGCGTCGAGGCGCGGCGCGTCGACGAACTGACGGACGGACGGGTGGATCTCTTCGCCTTCTCGCCAGCTGCATTTTGAACCTGGATCGTTCCAAACCTTCCCGCGTCGATCGGGTTTCGAAATGTTTCAAAGCGGCGGCCGGATCTCGACCCCGGCGTCGACCGGGGGCTCGGTTTCAACTGAGCACGGTGCCCACCGACTCGATACGGCAAATCTCGACCTGCGGCTGCGTGAGCACCTCTCGGAAGTCGCGTCAGCGCGAGCGAACACCGATTCACTCCACGACGACGCGTCGGCGCGATGACGCGTCCTCCCGTCGCGCCCGACGCGGAAGGCGACGACTCGTCGCACGATGGATCCGCGTCCGACGTCCCCGCCGCCTCCGAGTCCTGGGGCCGCGCCGAAGACGCCGCGCTCATCGACGCCGCCGCGCTCGGGCATCTCATCGAAGTCCAGCGTATACTCGCGAGCGGCGAAGCCGACGTCGACGCGCGAGACGAAGACCAAGGCGGAAGCACCGCGCTCGTGCTCGCGTCGCAAAACGGCCGCCCGATGGTCGTCGACGCGCTCCTCGCCGCGGGCGCGGACGTCAACGCGTGCAACGCCGGCGGCGACACGCCTTTAATCCTCGCGTCGCTGAACGGACACGGCGCCATCGTCGACGCGCTCCTCCGCGCGGGCGCGAACGTTCACGCGACCGATCAATTCGGAAGCTGCGCGCTGTTCTACGCGTCCAGGCAAGGGCACTGCGGGCTGCTCGACGCGCTCATCGACCGCGGCGCGGACGTGAACGGAAGCAGGGTCACCGCGCTGCTGATCGCGAGTCGCTTCGGGCACGCGAGCGCGGTGAACAAGCTCCTGCTCGCGGGAGCCGACGTCAGCGCCGTGGACGACGACAAGAACACGGCGCTGCATCGCACGGCGTTGGAGACGACGCCGGGCGCGGTGTACGGCGGCGGCACCGGCGAGGTCGTCGAGCTGCTCATCAAGAACTGCGCGAGAATGGACGTGGTGAACAACGACGGGCTGACGCCGATGCAGGTGAGACCGAGGAGGGAGTGCTCCCCGCGCGACCGTATCCCGTTCTCGCGTCGCGCGGCGTCGTCTCTCGATCGACGTTTCGTTTCTTTTCTTTTTTTCCGTTCGTCCTGTCTCTCTCAGCTCCATTCGCGTCGTCGCCCCCCTCGAGACGTTCGACTGTTCGACTGACCGACGCGCTCACCCGATGGACGCGCCCGCCGCAGCTCGCGCTGAAAGGACTGAACCGACCGAACGAGTGGCAGCGGCGACGGTGTCGCGAGGTGGTGGACGTGCTCGAGGCGGCGAAGAACATGAGCTTGGGGTTGCGGCGTTGGATCCACGCCGCCGGGTTGGAGTGCCAGGCGCGTTCTATCTCACACTGGTCCCCGTACGACCCCGTCGGCGTGGTGAACGCCGTTCCTTAAGGACTTTGCCCGGCGGATCTCTCCGCCCAGGGTCCCTCGCTCACAATCCCCGCCCTCGGCGCCTTTCAACTCCAACTGACGCCTTTCAACTCCACCCCGACGTTCGCTCGTACGGAACGACCCTCAGTGGCGCGAGTTCGCGCGTCTGGGCGCCAAGTACATGGACGACATCCACATGCTCGAGCGCGACGACGCGAAGCGGGAGAAGGGGTCGTCGCTCACGCCGATCCAGGCGAACCGTCTCTTCCGAGCGGTGTCCAACTCGGTGAATTTGATTCAGAGCGATTACGAGGGCGGCGCGGGGGTGTTGACGGGGGGCGGGGTGCGCGAGAATCGCGGCGAGGGCGACCAGGGCGGCGAGGGCGGCGACGGCGCCGAGGGCGCCGAGGACGACGACGACGGCGATTGGCTGAAGATGGGGAAGAGGTTCGAGCAGTTCCTGCTCGACCACAAGCTCGAGGATTACGCGGATCACTTTTCGATGCTCGGGTGCGCGTTCGAGAGGGATCTGCTGGACATCACCGACGCGCAGCTGTCGCTGATGGTCGAGCGGCACGGCCTCAAAGGCGCGTCCCATCTCACACTGGTCCCCATACGACCGCGTCGGCGCGGTGAACGCCGATTCTTAAGGACTTTCTCTCCCGGCGGTCGTTTCTCTCCGCCCACCCCTCGCTTTCACTCCCCGCCCTAGATGCCTTTCAACTCCGCTTCTGACGCCTTTCAACTCCACCCCGACGTCGCTTCGCGTGGAACGACCCAAAGTCCTCGACCGCCGGCGGTTCGCGAAAGCGCTCGTCGGGCTGCGCCGCCGGCTGCTCGACGGCGAGAGAAGCGACGGGCACAACAGCCCCGGGTGCAGCGCGGCGAACGGCGTGGAGGAGCGGCACCCGCACCCGCCAACGAAGCGGACGCCCGCGTCGTCCGAGGCGACGCCGGGGCCCGGACCGGTGGGGCCCGGCGGGCCGACGAAGTCGGGCGCGGCCAAGGCGGCGACGGCGGCGACGGAGCGCGGCGGAGGCGGAGACGGTCACGGAGACGGCCGGGGGATGGTGGGGACGGAGATGGGGCCGCCGATGTCGAGGAGCCCCGCGCAGGTGGATTAGGAGCCGCGCGCGATCGATCGCGCGGCGCGGTGCGAGACCTTTTCCGTGAAGAGACTCATCGCGCACGTTCAGCTTTTCTCTGCTCGTTTCCGAACTTCGTTCCTGTTCCCCGTCGCGCGTCGCGTCAGGTCGAGGAAACATCCGTCGGTCGGCGCGATTGCACTCCGGACCCGCGCGCGCTGCGCCTCACGCGACGCGCATCGCCCGTCGCCGCCGCGCGCGCTCCCTCGCGAACGCGCGCGCGGATCCGAACCCGAACCCGAACCGAACGGCGTCATGGCGCCGCGGCGTCCTCGCGCCGCGGTCGCGCTCGTCGTCGTCGCGGTTTTCGGCACCGTGCTCCGCGGATGCGACGCGGCCGAGACTCGGACGGAGATACGCGCCTCCGAGGATGGCGCGCTGAGGCGGCTGCTCGCGTCGTCGCACTCGTATCTCGTCCGCGACGACGTGCCGCTGTACGCGAACAAAGTCGGGCCGTTCCATAACCCGTCGGAGGTGCGTCGCGGCCGCGGCGTCGGCGCGTTTTCCGTCGCGCGCGCTCGAACGATGAGATTTTATTTTTTCCGCGCCGTCCGTCCTTCTCGCTCGCGCGACGGACGGACGGACGCGCGGCCGCGGCCGCGGGTTCGACGCGCCGCGACGCGTTCCGACGCCGCGATCGGTTCCTCGCGCGCGCGCGCATTATGGCGCCGCGGAGATCCGAGGCGGTCGCCGCGTCGGGACGCGGCGAGCGCGCGTCGGTGGCGACCCGCGAGGGCGCGGCGAAGCGGCGACATCGTTCATTCATCATCGCATTCAATCGCGTCGTCGATATATTCCTTCCCTCCTCCAGCGGGCGCGCGCGCGCGCGTCTTCCACGTCCACACGTCCTATACCCTAACCCTAACCCTACCCCCCAACCCTACCCCCACGAACCAACCCGCGCAACAGACGTACCAGTACTACGACCTGCCGTTCTGCGAACCCGCGGACGGCGCCGTGAGCAAGCGGGAAGACCTCGGAGAAGTTCTCGAAGGCGACCGCATGTCGTCGACGCCGTATCAAGTCCCGTTCCGAGTCGACCGCGAGAACGAGTCTCTGTGCGAGCGAACGCTGAGCGCGAACGACCTGAAGAAGTTCCGGCGCGCGGTGAAGGACGACTATTACTTTCAGATGTACTACGACGACCTTCCGATCTGGGGGTTCGTCGGAAAGATCGAGAAGATTTTAAACCCGGGCGCGCCGGAGCTGCGGTATTACCTCTTCACGCACGTGCACTTCGACGTCGCGTACAACGGCGATAAGGTGATCGAGATAAACGTCAGCACGGACCCGCTGAGGACCGTGGACATCACCGACGGCGACTCCGTGCGCGTGGAGTTTTCGTTCAGCGTCAAGTGGAAAGAGACGCGCATCCCGTTTAACCGACGCATGGAGAAGTATTCGCGGTATTCGTTCCTGCCGCAACACCTCGAGATTCACTGGTTCAGCATAATAAACTCGTGCGTCACCGTGCTGCTGCTGACCGGGTTCTTAGCGACGATACTCATGCGCGTCCTGAAGAACGACTTCATCAAGTACTCGAGAGACGAGGACGTCGCGGAGGAGAGCGAGGAGACGGGGTGGAAGTACATCCACGGCGACGTCTTCCGATTCCCCCGCGCGAAATCGCTGTTCTGCGCGGTCATCGGCACGGGCACGCAGCTGTTCGCGATGACGCTCTTCGTCTTCATGCTCGCGCTCGTGGGCGTGTTTTACCCGTACAACCGCGGCGCGTTGCTGACGTCGGTCATCGTGCTGTACGCGTTGACCTCCGGCGTCGCCGGATACGTCGCGGCGAATAACTACCGTCAGATGGGCGGCGACAAGTGGGTCCGGAACGTGCTGCTGACCGTCGCCCTCTTCTGCGGGCCCCTGTGCGTCATGTTCTCGTTCTTAAACACCGTCGCGATCGCGTACCGGTCCACCGCGGCGCTGCCGTTCGGGACGATCTGCGTCATATTCGTCATCTGGGCGCTCGTGACGTTTCCGCTCACCGTGCTCGGCGGCATCGCGGGGAAGAACGGCAGGTCGGAGTTCAAGGCGCCGTGCCGGACCACGAAGTACCCTCGCGAGATTCCGCTGCTGCCGTGGTACCGCGCGGCGATCCCGCAGATGTGCATGGCCGGGTTCTTGCCGTTCAGCGCGATTTACATCGAGCTGTACTACATCTTCGCGTCCGTGTGGGGACACAAGGTGTACACGATTTACAGCATCCTGTTCATCGTGTTCATCATCCTCGTCGTCGTCACCGCGTTCATAACGATCGCGCTGACGTACTTCCAGCTCGCGGTGGAGGACCACCAGTGGTGGTGGCGAAGCGTCCTGTGCGGCGGCAGCACGGGGGTGTTCATATACGCATACTGCTTCTATTACTACTACGCCAGGAGCGACATGACCGGGTTCATGCAGACGAGCTTTTTCTTCGGGTACATGTCCGTGATTTGTTACGGGTTTTTCCTGCTCCTCGGAAACATCGGGTTCAGGGCGAGCTCGCTGTTCGTGAGGCACATATACAAGGCGATCAAGTGCGAGTGAGAGAGGAGGAGGAGGAAGAGAGATATGTATAGCGGTGGCTTTAGACGGGGGTGGGGTAGTTTAGACATTCATTCAATTGGGTGCAACGAGCGAAGAAACGATTCGCTTTCATCAGTCGTCTCTTCATCGTTCAGCCTTTTAGTCGTCGCGGCGGCGCTTTCCTTTGCGACCTCGTTTGTTACAGTTCGGACACCCGGTGGGCTTGTCGCTGTCCGTGCGGTTGTGCACCTTCGTCCTCCACGAGTGCATGCACTTCAGACACTTCCACAGCGCCTTGTGGTGCGACCCTTTCGTCACCGAAGTCGGCTTCCTATCCGGGTCGACGTATTCCTTCAGGAGCTTCTTCCCGCGCTCGCCGTTCTTCTCGCACCACACGAGGAAGTTCTTGGTCTTGCTCAGAGGCGCGCAACTCGCGCACTTCGGACACCCGGTGGGTCTGTCGCTGTCCGTGCGGTGGCACACCATCGCCCTCCACGCGTTCTTGCACTTCAGACACTTCCACAGCGCCTTGTAGTGCGACGCTTTCGTCACCGAAGTCGGCTTCCTATCCGGGTCGACGTATTCCTTCAGGAGCTTCTTCCCGCGCTCGCCGTTCTTCTCGCACCACACGAGGAAGTTCTTGATCTTGCTCGCCGACGCATGTTTTGCGCACTTCGGACACCCGGTGGGTGTGTCGCTCTTCGTGCGGTTGCACACCATCGCCCTCCACGCATGCTTGCACTTCAGACACTTCCACAGCGCCTTGTACGTCGACGCTTTACACACCTCCGTCGGCAACTTGTCAGGGTCTTTGAACTCGTTGGCGAGCCGCTCGCCCCGCTCGCCGTTCTCCGTGCACCACTCGATGAACGACTTGCCGCGAGTGCGCTGCTTCGATTCTCGTTTCTTCACCATGATCGCCGTGCGGGGACGCGGCGAACCGCTAGCGAAAGTGACGACGAAAGCCACGACGGCGGCGCCGCTTTTCAGTTGGCTTCTAAAACTTTCTCGGACGCGACGACGGACGAGTCGAGCGAACGAGGACGCCGCCGCGCGTCGCCGCGGCAGGCGCGGACTCTCACCCCCGCGCGCGCTCCGTCGCCCGCCCGCCCGCCCGCCCGCGCCATGATCCGCGACCTTCTCCCCGCGATCCTCGCGGACGTCGAGCGCGACGAGCGCGTCGTCGCGGACGTCGAGCACCCCGCGGAGGACGCGCACCGCGACGCGGAGCGAGGACGTCCGACCGCGACCGCGACCGCGGCGGCGCGGGGCCGCGCGTCCTCCGGCGCGGTCGCGCGCGAGATCGAGACGACGCCGACGCGCGCGCGGCGTCGCGCGCGATCGGCGCCGTCGTGCCTCTGCGCGGCCGCCGACGCCGCGTCCGACGACGACGACGCCGCCGCCGACGACGACGACGGCGACCGCGCGACGCGTTTCCTCGCGGAAGCGTCCGAGGCGTCGCGCGACGTCGCGCGGCTCCGCGACGCCCTCCGCGCCCTCCGCGCGACGCACGAGGAGTCCCAGTGCGTCGCGTCGAGAGCGCGCATGGACGAGCTGAGGGAGCGGCTCGCGTCGAGCGTCGTCGCGAGCTCGGAGGCGGCGGCGGCGACGAAAGCGCGCGTGGAACGCGTCGCGCGCGGCGGCGACGCGTTCCGCGACGTCGTCGTCGTCGCGGCGGCCGGAAGGAGTAACGGCGATCCGTTGAGCGTTTTAAGCGACATCGACCGCCGCCGCGTCGAGACCGTGTCGCGCGGGCTGCGTAAGTCGTTCGCGTCCGCGCTTAACGAGTACAACGCGTTGCGCGTCGAGATCGCGAGAGAGCGCGGCAGAACGATTCGCGACCGCGTGTACGCCGTCACCGGCGCGGAGATGAGGTGTGTTCTATACACTGGTCCCCATACGACCGCGTTGGCGTGGTGGACGCCGATCCTTAAGGACTTTGCCCGGCGGATCTCTCCGCCCAGGGTCCCTCGCTCACAATCCCCGCCCGCGGCGCCTTTCAACGCCAACTGACGCCTTTGAACTCCACCCCGACGTTCGCTCGTATGGAACGACCCTGAGCGCGGAGGCGCTGGACGCGATCGCGGAGGGGGAGGACGGCGGCGAGCGCGAGGTATCGACCGCGGTGCGCATGAGCATCGCGGGGGGAGGGGGAGGGGGGAAGCCGCCGGCGGCGCCGAGGCGATTCGATTACCGATCGCAGACGACGCAGACGCAAACGCAAAGTTCGGAGGTGAGACTGCTTCCCGTACGACCCCGTTCGCGTGGTGCACGCCGTTCCTTAAGGACTTTTCCCGTCGTCACTCTTCACCCGCGCTTCCCTTTCAACGTTTGACCGGTGAGACGTTCGACTGACCGATCGCTTCACCCACGCAGGCGCAAACGCAAACGATGAACGCGGCGGCGTTGGAGTCGGCGCGACGCGCGAAGGACGCGACGCGATCGCTCGAGCGCGGGATGCTCTCGCTGAACCAGATCTTCCTCGACATGGCCAACCTCGTGACGACCCAGGTGCGACTCGGGCGCGTTCTATACACTGCTTCCCATACGATCGCGTTCGCGTTGTGAACGCCGTTTCTTAAGGACTTTCGCCGGCGTGTCTCTCTGCCCACCCCTCGCTTTCAATCCCCGACCGCGACGCATTTCAACTCCAACTGACGCCTTTCAACTCCACCCAGGGCGACGCGCTGGACGACGTGGAAGCGCACGTCGCGAAGAGCGCGGCGGCGGCGAGGGGCGCGGAGCGGTCGCTAACGGCGGCGCGGGAGCACCAAAAAAAAGGACGACGGAAGGTTTTCGCGATCGTCGGGATCGCGGTCGCGTGCGTCGTCGTCGTCGCGCTCATCGCGATCGCGGGGTTCGTTTGATGTATAATGCGATGATGCGACGCGTTGGAGTGAGGGTGAGAGGGTACGACCGGGGATGGAGGGCGGCGTGGACGAGAGCGAGTCGCGGAGGGGGCGGCCGTTACGTTGTTCTCGACTTGGTGTGCCGACAGAATGCCAAACAGAGCCGAACAGAGTGCTCGAGTCGGCACCTCTCGCGCTCGCGCTCTGCTCGCGCTCGCTCCCGCGGCCTCTGTAAAATAAAGCGCGGGATCGACGATCGACGCGTCGTTCTCCCGCGCGCGCGTCGACGCCGACGGACGCCCCCCCGCGCGATGACGCGCCTCGCGCGCCTCATCGCGGCGTTCCTCCTCGCGGCCTTCTCCCTCGCGTCCGCGTCAGCGTCCGCGTCCGCGTCCGCGTCGTCGACGTTCCCGACGCCCGCGGACGACGCGTTCGTCGAGTGGTTCGTGGATTCGGGCGGCGTCTTCTCGGGAAACGGCGTCTACTCCGTGATCGAGGACGACGCCGCGTCCTCCTCCTCCTCCTCCTCCTCGCGCGCGCGCGGAATGTTCGCCAAGGCGGACGTCGCCGACGGCGACGAGCTCCTGACGCTCCCGCTCGACGCCGCGCTCGTCGTCCCTTCGCCGTTCGCGGGCGAGATCATCAGGCGCGTTCTATCTCACACTGGTCTCCATGCGACCGCGTCGGCGTGGTGAACGCCGATCCTTAAGGACTTTTGCCGGCGTCTCTCTACGCCCACCCCTTGCGTTCAATCCCCGCCATAGACGCCTTTCAACTCCAACTGACGCCTTTCAACTCCACCCCGACATCGCTTCGTATGATGGAACGATCATCAGCGGCCTCGCGCGCGACGGCCTCCGCGGCGACCCGGAGTGGGCGCTCGCGTGCTTGCTCCTGCGCGAGCTCGACGCGGGCGATCGCTCGCCGTTCGCCGCGCTCCTGGAGAACGTGCGGAGGTTTCCTCCGCCGGCGATTAAGCGCGTGTTCGACGCGCGCGAGGACGAGGACGCGAGGAAAGCGCTGGACGGGACGTACGCGCTCGAGGCGCGTCCCATTTCCTTCCATTTACCATTTAACACCCCCGACTGGTCCCCGTACGACCGCGTTCAAAAATCACGCGGTGCACGCCGATCCTTAAGGCGTTCTTTCTTTCGCGCGATATCGACCTCACGTTTTGACACGTGAGAACGTCGTCCACCAATCGCACGTCTACATGACTACTGACGCGCGTCTTTTCTCCGCCGCTCGAACGACCCGGCCGGCGCTCAGTTCGCGACCCAGGAGACGGAGAAGTTTAAGCGCGCGTGGCACGTCGTCGCGGACCAATTGCCGATGAAGTACCCGCACGCGTTTCCAGAGCGCGTGTATAACGTAACTGCTTTCGAGAGAGCGTTAGGGATCGTGCGGGCGATCGGCGTGCGGTTCCCGACGGCGACGTTCACGAAGAGGAAGGAGTCGGTGCACAGCGACGACGACGACGCGTGGAGCGGTTGGGCTGGTGCGCGCCGATCGGTCCACGTGTCTTGACGACCACCGCACGTTTCGCCACGTGTAGTATCCCGATAGTATCGCCGTTATCCCGCCACGTCGACATGCGCTGACCAATCATCGACCTTCCCGCCCCCCGACTGACCGACCGTCCATCGCAGCGACGTTCGAAGGGCACTACTCGTGGAGCTCGTTCGCCGCCGTCGTGCCGTTCGCGCACCTCCTCCCGCACGACCCTTCCGGGAACGCGCCGTGCGTGGGCATCGTCCCGAAGACGCGAGGTAACGCCACGATGCTGAGCGTTAAGACCGCGAAAGCAGGCGCCGGCGAGGAGATGGGGTGCAACCGCGCCGGCGCGCGCGCGGTGAAGGTTGGCTTCGGGAAGAAGAATACTAAGGCGCGTTCTATACACTGGTTCCCATACGACCGCGTTGGCGATGTGGACGCCGATCCTTAAGGACTTTGCCCGGCGCATCTCTCCGCCCAGCCCTCGCTTTCAATCCCGACACACCTCGACGCCTTTCAACTCCACCTGACGCCTTTCAACTCCACCCCGACGTTCGCTCGTATAGAACGGCCCTAAATCTTCTGCGGCCAAGACGCGCACCGTGGCGGGGACCATGTCCGACGCCGAGTCGATGCACCGCCACGGCACCGTGGGCCCCGGCGTGAACAAAAACGACGCGATGGTGCTCCTCCTCCCCGAGGACGCGTACGTGGACGGACCGGCGACCGCGGAGGGCGCGTTGAATCGCAAGAAGCCGTCGGACGACGTCGCCGTGTTGGGTGCGCGCGTCCTCCTTCCTCACACTGGTCCCCATACGATTCCGTTCGCGTGGTGAACGCCGATCCTTAAGGACTTTTGCCGGCGTGTCTCTCCGCCCACACCACGCTTTCAATACCCGCCCTCGGCGCCTTTCAACTTCAACTGACGCCTTTCAACTCCACCCCGACAGCCGCGAAAACCGCGTTGTTGCGCGCGTGCGGCGACGCCGACGAGCGCGCGTTGACCAACGACGGGCCGTCCCCGTCGCTGATGTGCGCCGTGCGCGTCGCGACCGCGAACGACACCGAGGTGATCGCGCTCGCGGAGGGGCTGTACGCGTTCGACCCGGAGCGCGACGAGCGCGACGACGAGTACGACCAAGACGGGAACAAGGCGCGTTCTATCCGTACGACGCTAGCTGGTCCCCGCGCGACCGACCGCGGTTTCTTCGATCCCGACGCGCCGCGTCGCCTCTCATCGACTAACCAACTGACGCTCCCTCGAACGCCCACCCCGACGTCTGTCGTCGCTTCGCGCGGACCCTGATTGATCACCCACCCTCAGCGTCGAAAATATCCGAGAGAGACGGAGGTGCGCAACGGGCAGAGGAGAGACCCGGAAGTCGCGAGGAGGCTCGCGACGCGCCCGGTGAGCGAAGACAGCGAAGCGTCGGCGCTCGCGGCGCTGGTGGAGACGGTCGCGGCGCTGCTGGACGCGTACCCGACGTCGGACGAGGAGGACGAAGCGCTTCTGCGGATCGGCGCGGAGGAGAAGGAGGAGGAGGAAGAGGACGAAGAAGCCGGGAAGACGTCCGACGACGACGACGACGACGACGACGACGACGACGACGCGGACGCCGCTTTAAACGCGAAGCGCGAACGACGCGAGAAAGAGAAGAGAGAGAGACGTCGTCGTCGCCGCGCCGCGGAAGCCGCCTCAAACGCCGCCGCCGGTCGCGCGCCGCTGACCGGCGTCCATCGCGAGGCGGTGCGGTGCCGCCTTCGAGAGAAGCTCCTGCTCGTCAACTGTCTCAACTCGCTGCGACGCGTCGCGGCGCAACGGCTGAGAGACGCGCCGTTCGAGCTCGACTTTGGCGCGAGCGCGGGGGGGAAGGTCAGGGCGGACCGCGAAGACGACGCGAAACGGGAGGGGAGCGTGTCGCCGCCGGAGGGGTTCTCTGCGGGGAAGAAGACGCGACGACGGACGGGCGGCGACGGCGAGCTGTAGCGACGGACGAGTTGAAGAGAAACGAATGAATCTATGAACCGGCGCCACCAGAGCCAGACCACTTCTACCACTGTCGTCAGGTCCGACACGCGATCTGCCACCATATCGCCCCGCCCCCGAGTCGCCATCAGCACGAGATGGCGCCTCCGGCGCGGGGGAGGAGGAGCGCGCGCATCGCGCGCCATGGCGCGACCGCGGGAGCAGACGCCGTCGGATCGTTGGACGACGCCGTCAGCGCGCGGATCGACGCGCTGGCGGCGAAGTGCGACGCGCTGGCGGCGAAGTGCGACGCGCTCGCGGCGGAGAACAGCGCGCTCGCGGCGGAGGTGCGCGCGTTGAAGGCGGCGAACGCCGCGGTCGCGTTCCGCGCGGTCGGGACGTCGCCGTCGGTGGGGCGCAAGCGCGCGCGCGTCGAGGACCCGCCGTCGCTCGAGGAGGAGCTCGTCACGACGACTGATCTGCTCGAGCTCCGGAATGCCGTTCGCGGTCTCGAAGAGCGCGAAGCCGCGCGCGAACCACTCCTGGAGCGACTCGCCGCGGACGCACGCGAGCCACTTCTGGAACGACTCGCCGCGGACGCGCGCGATGTCTTCGTCGGGAGCGTGCTCCCGCGGCTCGACGACGGCGACCTCGCGGTGCTCGCGACGGTGAACCGGAGGATGCGCGACGTCATCTTCGATTCGCCCGTCGGCGACGTGAAGGACGTCAAGGCGGTGAGTAAACAACTCGCGAGAGTGCCAAACTTCGTCGGGTCGATCGCGAGGCTGGCGTGGGCGAGAGAACGAGGGTGTCAGTGGGTCCCGAGGACGTTCATGTGCATCGCGGAGGGTGGGAACTGAGAGGTCGCGAAGTGGGCGAAGGAACGAGGATGCCCGTGGGACGCATTGACTTGCCGCAGCGCCGCGGAAGGCGGCCACATGAGGATGCTGCAGTGGGCGCGCGCGAACGGCGCTCCGTGGTACGGGCTGACTTGCAAGAATGCTGCGCGTGGCGGCCACCTAGAGGTATTGCAGTGGGCGCGCGCAAACGGTTGTCCGTGGGATGAGAGAACTTGCGTCGCAGCCGCGCTTGGCGGCCACCTGGAGGTACTGCAGTGGGCGCGGGCGAACGGCGCTCCGTGGGACGAGGGTACTTGCACTAGTGCCGCGTATGGCGGCCACCTGGAGGTGTTGCAGTGGGCGCGGGCGAACGGCGCTCCGTGGGACGAGGGTACTTGCACTAGTGCCGCGTATGGCGGCCACCTGGAGGTGTTGCAGTGGGCGCGGGCGAACGGCGCTCCGTGGGACGAGGGTACTTGCGCCGATGCCGCGCATGGCGGCCACCTGGAGGTGCTCCAGTGGGCGCGCGCGAACGGCGCTCCGTGGATTCCGAGGGAGTGCAAAGCCTAAGGGCGGAGGCACGAGGATGTGGTGCGGTGGATAGCTGGGGAGGTAGAAAATGGGGCGTAGTCGCGAGCGGGCGGTGCGCGGCAGGAAATCGTGTTCACGTCGAGTGGTCTCTAACGAGCAGCAGCCCTGCGCGTGTTGTGCTCGTAAAACTACGTGTAATAAGATCGAGCTCCGCGCCGACGTCGAGTTGACCTCCTCCTCGTCGTCACGGCAACCACAACCGCATCAGCTTCGTGTCGAAGCTCTGCACCATCGGCGCGATCTTCCCGATGCACGCCTTCCACGCCTCCGCGCCGCGCGCGCTCTCCCGCACCTTCATGTGATCCTCGCACGTGTCGTACCGCCACAGCTCTACGAACTGATTCAATCCGCCGAGGTCGCTGTACCCCATCCACGCCAACGTGCCCAATTTTTTCTCAGGGTCGTTCCATACGAGCGAACGTCGGGGTGGAGTTGAAAGGCGTCAGAAGCGGAGTTGAAAGGCGTCGAGGGCGGGCGTTGAAAGCGAGGGGTGGGCGCAGAGACACGCCGGGAAAAGTCCTTAAGGATCGGCGTTCACCACGCCAACGCGGTCGTATGGGGACCAGTGTGACATAGAACGTACCTCATCCGCCGCCAACTTGGACGGAAGCCCCTCCGACATGTGCTCGATCAGCTTCGGCACCGGGTTGTACCCGAGCTCGAGCTGATACCGCCGCATCTCAAACACGCCGTTGTCCTTCGCGTCCGCGGCGACGACGGACGCGAGGTGCGCGTGCGCGTCCGCCGCGACGCCGCCCGCGGCGAGCGCGTTCGTCGCGGGGAGAAAAATCTCAGGGCCATTCCATACAAAGCGATGTCGGGGTGGAGTTCATAGGCGTCAGTTGGAGTTGAAAGGCGTCGATGGCGGGAATTGAAAGCGAGGTGTGGGCGGAGAGAGACGACGGCAAAAGTCCTTAAGGATCGGCGTCCACCTCGCCAACGGGGTCGTATGGGGACCAGTGTATAGAACGCACCTCAGACTTCATCGACTTGACGTACGGCCACGCGTCCGCTTGGAAGCACGCCCACGCTTCCTCGTCCTTCGCGCCCTTGACGTTCGCGCGCACGACGTCGCGGTGATCGTAGTCGCGGTAGTGGTAGACGTGCGTGATCTCGTTCAGGTCGCCGCCGGTTTCCACGGTCCACATCCCGAGAAAGGCGCCCTCGTGGATGGAGACTCGCGCTTCTCTGTACTCGCGCTCGTAGCACGTCGCGAGGTAGTCGTTCCGGTTGGCGGGGATGACGACGTCGGTGCGGAACTCGAAGATCCCGGGGCTGGAGGACGTTTCGGCGGAAGCGGAGGCGGAGGACGCGAAGCCTCGAAGACTCGAAGACTCGCGATGATGCGCCGCCGTCGCGGCGCGAAGAGTCGTCGCGAAGAGGGCACCGCGTCCATGAGACGACATCATCGTCGTCGTCGTCGCCGCGACGCCGCCGCCGGCGGACGACGCCGACGCCGACGCCGACGCCGACGCGGCGGCGGCGAGGACCGAGGAGAGCGCGCGTCGCGTCGCGCGCGACGCGGCCGCGGACATGATGCGATGCGCGGGGCTGCGGGGCTGTGACGCGAGGGGGGTGTGACGTGATCGGATAAGAAGGATGATTGACCGTCCGCGACTCGAAGGGTCACGACTACGAACGTTTCTTCCACCAGCTTCAGTCACTCCGCTAAGACGTTGCTTATCTCCCCGATGACGTTCACGACGCGCCCCTTGAACATCTTCCCCATCGCGCGCTCGACGTGCGCGCGCTTCTCCCGCAGCGCGCGACGCAGCGCGGCGCCGCGCGCGGACGCGCGCGCGCGCTCCGCTCGCGTCGACCGTCGCCGGTCCTCCAAATCCGTCAGGGCCTTTTTCAACTGAGGGTCGTCGCGTCGTTCAAAGCGACGAACGTCGGGGCGGAGTTAAAAGGCGTCAGAAGCGGAGTTGAAAGGCGTCGAGGTGTGTCGGGATTGCATGAAACCGAGGGGTGGGCGAAGAGAACTCCATCCCGGGCGACGAAACTCCTCAGTTAAGGAACGGCGTGCACCGCGCGAACGCGGTCGCACGGGGACCGGTGATGGAATCTTAGTAGAACGCGCCTTGCCCTCCGCGCGCGCCTTGGACTCGAGCTCGCTCGCGAGCCGCCGCGCGTACCGCTCGCTGCTCGCGATGAGCAGCAGCTTCCGCGTCCTCGCGGCGCGCAGCGTCGCGACGGGCGCGAGGACGGCGGCGCGGAGGTCGGCGAGGACGTCCGGCGCGGACGAGCGTTGGATCGACGCCGGCGCCGACGCCAGCAGTGACGTCGTCTCCGGCGATCGCGAATCCGCGACGCGCTGGGAGAAGAACGCCGCGAGCTCCGAGAGCTCGTTCACGAGCGCCGCGCGGAAGTCTTGGTCGCGGAGACGCGCGTGGAACGGCACGCGGGCGGCGATCGCCGTCGCCGTCGACGAAACGTCGATCGTCGCGACAGAAGCCATCGCGGCGTCGAGCGAGAACCCGCCGTCGGCGGCGGCGTCGTCGTCCTCCTCCGCGGGCGCGACGTCTTCCACGGCGATGCCCCAGTCTATCCCGCCCTCGGGCGCGTCGACCACGGTGGGCGCTTCCCCGGTCGGCTCGATCTCGACCTCGACGCCGAGGTCGAGGTCCCAGTCGATGCCGCCGGCGGGGGGTTCCACGATCATCGCGGCACCGTCCGCGGCGTCGTCGCCGCCGTCCACCGCGAGATCGCCGAGGTCCCAGTCGATCCCCCCCGCGGGCGGCGCGACCACCTCGGGGCCGCCGGCGGACGCGTCGCCGATGTCCCAGTCGATGCCGCCGCTCGGGGGCTCGACGATCGTCGGCGGCGGCGGCGCGGCGTCGTCGTCGACCGCCGCCGCCGTCGTCGTCGTCTTCGTCGCGGGCGGCTCGATCGTCGCGCCGTCTTCGTACGCTCGGAGCTCGAGCAACGTCGGCGTGAACGTCTCCGCGCCGCGCGCGTCGCCGTGCGCCCACGCGCACCACTCCGCGTAGCGCGTCATCGCCTCGCCGACGTCGCTCTTCCGCGCGAGCGCGGCGCACTCGGCGAACGCGTCGTCGAGCCCCCCCGCGATGCGCTTCAGCTCCTCGGCGAATGCTTTTCCTCCGTTTCCTCCGTCCCCCCCCCTCCCCGCCGCGGCCGCGGCCGCGCTCACCCCGAGCGCGTCGCACGCACTCTTGTACGCCTCCCTCGCGACCCCGACACCGCGCTTCAGCTCGCTCTCGCGCCGGTCCAGGTCCGCGAGCTGTTTCGACGCCCTCGCGGCTTTGGCGTCGTGATGCGGGATCTCGAGGTCGACGCCTCGCGCCATCGCCAGCGCGGTCTCCGGGAGGTGGAGACCATCGCGCTCGTACGCGCGGACGACGTCGTCCCACTTCTTCGCAACGCCGGCGAGGCGGCCGAAGAGCCCGCGCGTCGGCGCGTCCGCGTCGCCGTCGCCGTCGCCGTCGCCGTCGCCGCCGTCGTCCACGTTCGCCTCGGTCATCTCGCCGCCGACGTCCTCGACGTCCTTCTCATCAGGCTCCTTCTCCTTCTCCTCCTCCTCCTCCTCAGCGACCGCCCCCCCTTGAGCTCTCGCGGCGGTGGACGCGCCCGCCACGATCGCGTCTCGCACGAGCACGCATCGGAAGTAATCCCACCCGACGCCGTCGCCGCCGTCGCCGACGAATATCGACGCGTCCGGGACGCCGAGGCCGTGCAGACGCAGAAGATGGGACGGGAGACTGCGGACGAGCGACGCGGTCGTCGCCTGAGGGCCGTTCCATACGAGCGTGCGTCGGGGTGGAGTTCAAAGGCGTCAGAAGCGGAGTTGAAAGGCGTCGAGGTGTGTCGGGATTGAAAGCGAGGGGTGGGCGCAGAGAATCGCCGGCGAAAGTCCTTAAGGATCGGCGTTCACCACGCCGACGGGGTCGTATGGGGACCAGTGCGAGGAGAACGCGCCTGAATGGCGCGCAGTTTCTCGCGCCAGTCCGCGCGCGTCTTCTTGCGATCGACGAGCCACTCCAGGAGCTTGGAGTACTTCACGTCGATCGGGATGTCCTCGTCGGGGACGCCCTGGCCGTAGTGAGTGCTCGGCGTCGGCGGGGGCGCCGGCCTGGCGGCCGGCGGCGGCGCGCCCCGGAACCGCGCGAACATCACTGACGACGAGATCAGATCGAGCAACGCGGCGCGACGTTCTGTTCAGATCGCAGGATGATTCCATTCCGCCCCATTACAACGACGCGCGCGGCGCGATGCCGCCGCCTCCCGGCGAGGGCGCCTCCGCGTGGGGCCTCTTCGGCGACGCCGACGCCGACGCGTCCGGCGCGCCGTCGCCGCCCCGCGCGGACGCGCACCCCTTCTTCGCGCGCGCGCGCCGGTGCTGGACGATTGTCGGCACCGACGACGACGACGACAGCTGGCGCCGAATCCGCCGCGTAAACGGCGCCATCGCGTCGCGCGTGCCCGAGTGCGCCGCCGCGCTCCGCGCGGCGGGGCACGTCGACGTCGCGCGACAGCTCGCGTCCGTCGCGCTGGCCGACGTGTTCGATCGCGAGGACCGAGACCCGCGCGAGGCGGCGGCGAATCGCGACGCCGTCGTCTCCGCGGTCGTCGAAGCGCTAGGGGATGCGGACGAGGCGTCGTCGTCCGACGCGCAGTCGCCGTCCGCGGCCGCGCTGCACGGCGCGCTGCTCCTCGCGCGCGGCGTCGCGGCGGCGAAAGCGCTCGACGACGCGATGGACTCGCCGCGCGACGAGCGCAAGGCGCGCATCGCGGTGGAGCGCGCGACGGCGCTGGCGGAGCTCGCGACGACGCACGGGTGCGAGTCGGGCGCGATCGGCGACGTGCGATGGGTCGGCGACGCGTACGTCGCCGCGTCGGACGCGTTCGACGCGGCGACGACGACGAGCGATTTGACATCGCCGACGGGCTCGGGCCGACCGCCGCCGCCTCTGGCGCGACTCCCGACTGCTGGAGTGCCCACCGGGGTGCCCACGCCGAGTGGGCGCCCCGGCGCAAACGGTGTGCCGACGTACGACGCGTCGTCGTTCCGCGCGCCCGCGTTCGTCAACGCGCACCTGTCGCCGCGTCGATCGCCGTGCGTGATTCGCGGATTGATGCGACATCAGAAGTGGAGCGCGGCGGAGACGTTTCCGGACTTGGAGTGGCTGCGATCGCACCACGGCGACGCGCTGGTGCGTTCTATACACTGGTCCCCATACGACCCCAATGGCGTGGTGAACGCCGATACTTAAGGACTTTTGCCGGCGCATCTCTCCGCCCAGCCCTCGCTTTCAATCCCCGCCCTCGACGCCTTTCAACTCCGACTGACGCCTATGAACTCCACCCCGACATTCGCTCGTATGGACCCTCGACCCTCAGGTGCCAGTGGAGATCGGCGTCGCGAGCGCGGACGGAAAGCGCGCGGTACCCCGAATCGAGCTGACGCGACTGGCGACGTTCCTGAACGACCACTTCGCTGACGCGACGACGCCGCGCGACGACGTGGCGTACGTGTCGCAACACAGCCTATTGCATCAGCGCCCGGAGCTTCAGCGCCACTTCGCGGTCCCAGAGTACTGCGTCGGGAGGCTCGCGGCGGCCAACGCGTGGATAGGGACCGCGGGGACGATCACCCATCTCCACACGGACGCCGCGGATAATATTCTCACGCAAGTCGCGGGAATTAAATCGGTGCGGCTGTACTCGCCGGACGTCGGCGAGGCGCATCTGTACCCGGAACGGCGCGGCGGGAACGGCGCGGTGAACGCGTTCTCGCCTATCGACCCCGACGACGCGAACAGCCCCGAGCTGCTCTCGAGGTACCCGAAGTTTGGCGAGATACCGGAGGAGGAGATCATGGACGTGGAGCTCGGCCCGGACGATTCGCTGTTCATTCCGAAGGGATGGTGGCACCGCGTCGTCGCGAGGACGCCGTCGTTCAGCCTCAACTTTTGGTTCTGATGAGCCAGCCGCGACTCGGACTCGGACTCGACGCGTCGTGTCGCGTCGCGTCGCGCGCGGTTTAGGGATGACGGCGCGATGACGTGATGGATGTCGTATTCGTAGCGTAGCGTAGGTCTATCGCAGCGTTGTACATCGTACAGCAACATACGTATCGCAGCGTCGCGCGTTGCACGCGTTCGTTCCTTCTCTTCTCTTCTCTCTCTTCTCTTCCCGTACGTCGCTTCTCTTTACCGAGATCAGATCCAGTCGTCGTCCTCTCTCTTCCTCCTCTCTCGTCACGCCACCGGCGAGCTCAGCACTTCGTCGACGACGAGGACGGTCCCCGCGTCAGCGTGCACGACGTCAAGCACCCTCGCGGTGAGCGCGTAGTCCGGGTTGGACGCGTCCCCCGCGGTGGCGTCCTCGATCGCCGCGCGAATCACGAGCCCGTCGCCGAGCGACGTCGACGTCGACGCGGGAGGATTTGGATTTTTCCCGCCGCCGGCGGCGGCGGCGTCGCTCTCTCTTTGCGTCGTCTCCGAATCCCCCGAATCCGTCGTGGTCATCTCCGCGCCTTCCGACCTCGCGCGCGTCACGAACACGCGCAGATCGTTGCGCGCGTCGTCGTCGTCGTCCTCCGCGCCGTCGCCGCCGCGGTCGGTCGCCGCGCCTTTATACCCGCCGGGGATGACCGAATGCGGGGGCGCCGTTCGTCTTTCCATCTCCTGAAAGCGACGATCGAAGCGATGATCGGTCGGGTCGGGTGGATTTGAAAGGAAAGGCGTCGTGGGTGGGGTCGAGCGTTGAAAGCGAGGGGTGGGCGGAGAGCGAGGGCGTCTCACCTCCTCCCGCGCGCGGCGTTTTTCCGCGTGATGCCCGAAGCGACGCCCGCGCGTTAGGTCTCGCCACGCGTCTTCTGCGCCCTCCCCTAACGCATCGAACGCGTCAGTTATATCCCAGTTATGTCCCTCGCGGCGGACGTCGCGGGCATCGAGGAGCGCGTGCGATGCGCTGAGGATGACGTCGGGGAATATCGCGTTGGGGGGGGACAGCGTCGGGAGAGGGGCGGAGACGAGCGCCGCGAGAACCGAGATTTCGTCCGATGCAGACCCCGCCGCCGCCGCCGCCGGCGCCGCGGCCTCGCGGAAGGACCCTATCGCGACGTGCGACTCCATCGCGTCCACGAGATCGGCGCTGTTCAACAGATCCGCGAGGGTAAACAGATCCGCGCCGCCGCCGAAATCCGCGTTCCGAAGTCGCGACTCGCGGACGCGCGCCGCGAGCCGCTCGAACGCCGCGTTCGTCGGCGCGACGATCACGAGCCGCCGTCCTCTCTCCGCCTGAGGGCCGTTCCATACAAAGCGAATGTCGGGGTGGAGTTGAAAGGCGTCAGTTGGCGTTGAAAGGCGCCGAGGGCGGGTATTGAAAGCGAGGGCTGGGCGGAGAGACACGCCGGCAAAAGTCCTTAAGGATCGGCGTTCACCACGCCGACGGGGTCGTATGGGGACCAGTGTATAGAACGCGCCTGAGGGTTCGCGTCGACGTTCCTTCCCACGCCCAACGACTGCCACAGCCGCGTCTTATTCGCCGCGAGCGCGAACGTCTCGAGGCCGGGGGTTCGCTCGATCGCGGTCGCGAGCGTAACCGTCGGCGAGGAGGCGTTACCGATCGCGAGGGCTTCCGAGAGCGGCGCGCAGGGTCGCCACGCCGCGCCGGGGAACGACTCGGAGACTTCCGCGGCGCCGCGCTCGACGCACCAATCCGCGTCCGCCACGTAGCAGTAGAACCCGAGGTCGACCGGGTGGAGCTGCATCGCGCAGCCGTGCGCGGCGGCGGTGATGTCCACGCCGTCGTCGGTGATGCCGCGCGTCAAGCACGCGCAGCGAGGGTCCTTCGACGCGGCGGCGGCGGCGGCGGCGGCGGCGGCGGCGGTTTGGTTTTGGTTTTGGTTTTCAGGGCCGTTCTATACAAGCGAACGTCGGGGTGGAGTTGAAAGGCGTCAGTTGGAGTTGAAAGGCGCCGAGGGCGGGTATTGAAAGGGAGGGGTGGGCGGAGAGATGCGACGGGCAAAGTCCTTAAGGATCGGCGTCCACCTCGCCAACGCGGTCGTATGGGGACCAGTGTATAGAACGCGCCTCATCCGCTTCGTTTTCGTCGTCGGCTCGGAGGTCTTGTCGCTCGGGCGTCGCCGGCGCGGGCGCCGGCGCGGGCGCGGGCGCGGGCGCGTCCAAGTCGACGAGAGACTCCTTCGCGTCGACGGCTTCCTCGGGCGCGGTGTCCGAAGGGCGCACGGGCGCGACGCTCGGGGGCTCCGCGGCCGCCGGCGCCGCCGCCGGCGCCGGCGTCGGCGCAGAAACGTTTACTACGACTTCTTCCGAAGCTTCTTCTTCTTCCTTCGTCGGCGTCGTCGTCGGTCGTATCGGCGCGACGGCGTCGCCGTCGAACTGCTTCAACCCCCGCCTCCTTCGCTTCCCCCCCTCGCTCGCCGCGCGCGCGGCCGCGATCCGCGCTTCTTCCTCCGCGGCGGCAGCCTCCGCGGCGGCGGCTATGGCCTCCGCGGTCGCGGCGATCGCCTCTTGCGTCGCGTTCATCGCGCGGTCCTGCGCCGCCTGCGCCTCCCTCTGCGCGTCCACCGCCGCGTTCTGCGCGTCGATCGCCTGCCTCGTCTGGTGCTCCGGCGTCGCGACGTGCTCGACGGAGGCGGGGACGTCGTAGGACACCGGCGAGGGCGCGTCGTCGCCGTCGTCGCCGTCGTTCGCGTCGGCGACGGCGAAGGCGTCGGCGTATCCGTCGCCGTCGCCGCCGCCGTTGTCCGCGAGTCCGCGGTCGTCCTGGAGGAGAATCCGCGCGGTGGGGTGCGCGCGCGCGCGGGCGGCGGCGACGTCGTGGAGCGACGACGCGACGACGACGTCGCGCGCCTTCAGCGCGAACTCGAACGTCGTCGCGAGAAACGCGACGAAGAGGAAGAGGAGAAGAGCGAAGCGACCTCGGAGGGTCGCGGCGGGCGTCGTCATCGCGAGCGTGCGCGCGCGCGTCGTCGCTTTGCTCGAAGATATTTTCGCGGAAGAAAGAAGAGGCGGCGTACCCTACACGTGGGACGTGCCGTCGCCGCGCGCGCCTTTCGGCGCGTCCGAGGAAGCGGCGCCGGCGCGAGACGAGGGGAAAAAAAAACAGCGGCGGCCAGACGTCTCCTCGTGACAACGCGCTCCACTCTCTATCTCTCTCCACGTGCACTCGCATCACGCCGCGGGCGGCGCCTCCCCCCCGTCCACGACCGGCGGGACGTCGTCCGACTGCGGCGGCGGCATCGTCATCGTCATCGAATCCGGAGCCGCCACGTCAGCCCCAGACTCGGCGCCCCCCTCCTTCGCGGTCGCGCCCCCCTTCTCCGTGATCATCGCCTCCAACACGCTGACGTCGTCCTTCCCGCTCCCCACGCCGCTCAACCGCAACTGCGCGTAGTCCTCGTCCGTGGCGCCGAAAATCTCCTTCAACCGCTGCTGCACGAACGCGCCCTGCTCCGCGGGGATGAACTCCGGCAGATCCGCGAGGTACATCACCTGAGGGCCGTTCCGCGCGAAGCGTTATCGTCGGGGTGGAGTTTGAAGGCGTCAGTCAGTCGGAGTTGAAAGGCGTCGTGAGGTCGCGCGTCGAAACCGAGGGGTGTGCGGAGAGATGCGCCGGGCAAAGTCCTCAAGGATTGGCGTGCACCACGCCAACGGGGTCGTATGGGGATCAGTGTGATGACAGGACGCGCCTTCGCGAACATGGCGCAGCCGTCGACTTTTCGCTCGACGCCCGCGCCGGACATGTCGCTGACGTCGCGCATGATGATGCCGTACTTCTTCACCATCCGCTCCCCGGTCTCGAGCAGCACGGACTTCATTATCTCCGCGTCGAGGTCGCACGCCGCCTTGAGCGCGAGCGCGTCCGCGATGAAATCCGTCGTGAACGGCTCCTCGTTGAGCTTATACCGGAGGTACTTTCTGAAAATCTCCGGCGGCGCGAATCCCGTCTTTCCTTGCAGCCCGCGGATGTGCCCCCGCGTCAGCGAGTCGCGGTTCTCCGGGAAGAAGTCGCGGAGACGCTCGACGACGACGACGTTCTTGTTCACCTGCCGCTTCCGCTTCGACCGCGTGCTGTTGTACCGCATGTAGACGTTGTAGCACGACAACGCGAACGATCCCGCGAGAATCGCGAGACCGAGGAACCCGACGTTGCGCACGGTTGGATTTCTCGCCGCGTCGGTCACCTTGCCGATCGCGACGCCGAACGCGCTCGTCGTCTCCTCTTCCTCCTCGTACTCGTACGCCTCGTCGTCCTCGTCGTCGGCGATCGACGCGCCGCGCGACGCGCCCGGGAGGAGCTCGGACGCGTCGCCGAGGCCGTCCGCGCCGTCCTCGCCGTTCGCGGCGTCGGCGCCGTCGAGGAACGCGTCCGCGTCGGCGTCGGCGTCGTCGTCCTCCGGCTCGGGCTCCGGCTCCGGCTCCGGCTCTTTCTTCTTCTTGCTCTTCTTCTTCTTCGCGCGCATCGCGAGCGACGATCCGCGCTCGGCGGCGCCGCCGCCGAGGGTCAGGCCGCTCGCGCCGCCTACGCGATGGAAGGAGGACGCGAACGACGACGACGACGCCTTCGAATGCGACCTCGATGGCGTCGTCGTCGTCGTCGCGCAGCGCGCGACGACGCGCGCGCTCCTGACGCGCGGCGCGCCGACGCGCGCGCGCGCGTTCGAGGTGACAACCGTCCCGGAGGAGAGGGCACACGCGTGCATCGTGTCGGGCGAGGGGTCGTGCGCGGCGCGCGTTCGAACGCGGCGCGCGCGCGCGACGAAACCCTATCCCTCTGCGGCAGCGGAAAAGCGCGCGGGTTCGGTTCATCGCAGCGGCGAACGGTCAGTTGAGAGAAGTGCGGGTCAATTTGACCGGCTGGCTCGATCGGGGAGTGGTTTGAAACTCATACGAGCGGCGGCTGGTCGCGCTCGCGCTCGATTCTCTGAGCATCCCCGCGCTGCCCCAATCATTCGCCCCGGCGCCGGGCACGCGCACCGCGGGAGACCAAAGAGACCTCCGCGAAGATGGCGCGTCCCCTCCCGTCTTCCTTCCGCGATCCCCGCCTTCGCGCGCCTCCGAACCCTCCTCCTCCGCGCGCGACCTGACCACCCCGATCCAACGCCGTCATCGTTCCATTCGTTCGTCGTCGAACCACCGCAGAGTTTCATGGACGCGCGCGAGCACGGCAGCAAGGTCGGCAGCGCCGGCGTCGCGTCCGAGCAGCACGCGGCGATCGACCGCCGCGAACGCCTCCGACGCCTCGCGCTCGAGACGATCGACCTCGCGAAAGATCCGTACTTCATGCGGAACCACCTCGGATCGTACGAGTGCAAGCTGTGCCTGACGATCCACGGCAACGAGGGCAATTACCTCGCGCACACGCAAGGGAAGCGACACCAACAGAACCTCGCGAAGCGCGCCGCGAGGGAGGCGGCGGAGAACCCGAACCTCCCAACCCTGAAAGGGAAGACGCGCCCGGCGCCGAGGAAGACGGTGAAGATCGGACGGCCGGGGTACCGCGTGACGAAGCAGTACGATCACGTCCATCGTCGCCGGTCGCTGCTCTTTCAGATCGACTTCCCGGAGATCGAAACGGGGGCGACGCCGCGGCATCGGTTCATGAGCGCGTACGAGCAGAAAGTCGAGGCGTGGGATAAGAAGTATCAGTACGTGATGTTCGCCGCGGAGCCGTACGAGACGATCGCGTTCAAGGTGCCGAACGTGGAGGTGGACAAAACGGCGGATCGCTTCTTCGCGCACTGGGAGCCGGATAAGAAGGTGTACACGGTGCAGCTGCATTTTAAAGCCCCGGGCGGCGGGGGAGGCGCCGGAGGCGGCACGGGCGGGTACGCGCTTCCCGGCGAAGGGCAGGCTGGGGGTACTGGCGGGTACGCGCTGCCGAGCACGAACATGGGCAACGACGCGCGGTACGGGGAGACGGGCGGGGTGATCTTGGGGTCGATGGGGTCGTTCGCGCCGCCGCCGCCGCCGCCGGGGCGGTTGCCGGTGGGCGTCGCGCCGCCACCGGGGGCGTTCGCGCCGCCGCCGCCGCCGCCGCCGCCGCAGTGAGTAGGGAGTAGCGGAGGATTGTGATCGATCGTTGCGCGCCGTACTTTTACTTTTTTTTCGAACGACGCGGTCGAGAATCGAATCGAATCGTGCGAGTCCGTTCACGTTAAAACGTCTCTCACGCATCAGTCCGCCTCTCGCGAGCGTCCACGTCTGTCTTCATCTTCCCTTCCTTCTCCTCGCCCGCCCCTTCGTCGTTCTGTTCTCGGCTATAAATCGCTACTAGCCCACCCTCTTACTCCACCCCCCACAACTTTCTTCGTCACGCCTCCGTCCACGACCGCTCCACGACCTCCTGCACCTTCTTGTTGTACTCCCGCTTGCACTCGCTGTACAGCCTCGCCGCCTCCGAGTTAGCGGGCGAGTTCGGGTTGGGGTCGCACAGCAACGACTGCACGCTCGTGAGAATCGCCGCGACGTCGTAGATCGGGCTCCACTGGTTCTGCAGGATGTCCAGGCATATCGCGCCGTCGTTGTATATGTTCGGGTGGAACATCTTGCTCTCGAACTTCACCACCGGGGCTTTGTTCGGGTAGTCCTCGGAGAAGGCGAGCGAGAGCTTGAACGTGCCGCCCTCCCACGGCGTGTCCTCGGGGCCGAAAATCACCGCCTGCCACGCCTGATGTGGGGTCGCGGTGACGGGGGGTGTTGGGGGTGGGGGATCGCGCGGGGGGTGAGGACGGCGACGGGCGGCGCGGGGGTGGGATGGCGCGGGCGGGATGGCGGGTCCGGGCGGCGCGGGCGCGAGATCCGGGGCGACGCGGGGGAGGGTTCGTCGCTGAGAAATAATAAATCGCGTCGACGAAGACGCGGAAGGATTCTTCGCGTCCGCGTCCGCGTCCTCGCGCGCGACGCACCATGATGTTGCTCTCCGTGGGCGTGCCGGAAATCCCCGCGGGCGGGTCTTTCTGCAGCCGCTTGAAGTCCCGCATGAGGCGCTTCCGCGCGGGCGTCGACATGACCGCGCGTGCGTGGGGGGGGGGGGTCGTCCTCTGACGCGGCGCGGAGGAACAATGATGGCACCCGCGCGGAGGTTGACCTTCTCGAGGCGAGCGCGCGCGCGCGCCGCGCGCTGCGATCGGCAGTGCACAGCTGGCAGTGACTCCCGCCATCCGTTCGTCCGTCCGCGGCGGGTCGTCACTCGCCATGCTCGCCGCGACGCGTCCGCCGCTCGCGACGCCCTCCGCGGCGCGTCGCCGAGGTCGCGCGGCGACCGCGTCCGCGACGAGGCGCGGCGCGGCGTCGGCGTCGGCGGCGGCGGCGGCGTCCGAGCGAAGCGACGACGCGTCGTCGTCGACAGCTCATCATCAACATCGCGTCGCGGCCGTCTTCGCCGCGGCAGCGCTCGTCGCCGCGTCCCCCGCGCTCGCCGCGGACGAAGACGGCATCGCGTCCACGCGCGGCGCGAGCGCAGAGATCGCCGCGGAGATCGTCGTCGCCGCGGCGCCGGACGACGCCGCGTCTTCGAACGCGGACGCGCCCCCCATCGGGATCGAGAACGTCGAGGACGACGACAAAAATAACAAGACGCCGTCGAGCGCGAAGAGACGATCCAAGGCGCGCGTCGTGAACGACGCGCTGTTCGACTACGCGGGCGTCTTCACCCCCGAGCGCGCGAGCGCGTTGACCGCGGAGCTGACCGAGCTCGAGAGCAGCACGGGGTGGAAAGTCCGAGTCGTGACCGGGTACGAGGGCGCGATCAACGACCTGTACAGGACGACGAGAGCGGATCGAAAGACGGTGATCATGACCGCGGACGAGTTCAAAGGCAACGTCCTGGAGTTTTACTACGACACCTCGAGCTTGAAGGAGGTCATACCGAAGAACGTGTTCCAAGAGATGCGAGGGAGGTACGGGAACAAGTACTACGTCGACGAGGAAGGGCTAGAGACCGCGGTCGTCGACGCGACGGAAGCGCTGCGAGGGTGCCTCGCGAGGGGCGGGTGCGCGTTCGTCCCCGGGTTATCCCCGCAGCAGCGCGAGTTTTCCCTCGTCGCGGTGATCACCGGCGGGTTCCTCTTCGGCGCGGCGACGGCCGCGGGGAAGAGCGCCGCGGAGCCGTCGCCGTGGACCGGGGTGTTCATCGCGATATGGGTGCCGTGGGTGTTCGCGTTTGGGTTTTATCCCCTCTACGTCAGGCAGCCGGAAGACTTGACGCCGTTAATACAGAACGCCGCGCTGTTCGCCGCGACCGTTCTCTTCACGTCGTCGTCGCCGCTGCTGGGCGGGGGAGGGGGCGGGGACGGGGACGGGGACGCCGCGCGGGGTGGGGATGACTTCGGGAACCGCGGCGGGGGAGGGTGACGACGCGTCCGGCGCGCGAGTCATAGGTAAAATTATTTCGTGAAACACTCCGAGTCGCGCTTGCGGCGCGCGTTTTGGTTCGACAAGACAAGACGCGCGACGCAGGCCACTTCGCGCCGCGCTCACCACGCGTCCGCGAGAACCCACCGCGCGCGAGCGATGATGGTGTCGCTCGTTCGCGCGCTCGCGTCGCCGTCGCGCGTCGCCGCGCGGACGGCCGTCGCGCGATGCGCGGCAGTCGCGCGTCGTCCGATGCCGTCGTCTCCGTCGAGACGGTTCGTCTTCTCCGAGATGCATCTTTTCCCGACGGCGCCGGCGCGCGCGGCGGCGTGCGCGCCGCGTCTCGCGCGAAGCTTCGCGTCCGCGCCAGTCCTGCGCGAAGCTCTGCGCGACGCCGCGAAGTCGACGCCGGACATCGCGAAAGCTTCCGCGGCGAGGGGGGTGAAGGTTTCGAAGGCGCGGCATCTCGCAAGATTTCGTGAAAGACTTCCTGCAAGATCGACAGAAGTTTGGCGGCGTCGCGCAAAACGAATCGTACGTGTATGCCGTGTAGCCATAAAAGGGTTAAGAATGGCAAGTAACAACTTAGAACGTTGGCTGCATAGTAACGAAGGATTTGACGCAAGATCGTCAGAACATTTGCGGCTATTGACGCTATGCAAAGGACTTCTCGCGCGGACGAAACTCTTTTTTGTCGCATCTTGCATCTTGAACATCTTGAACATGGCGTGCGTGTTCTGCATGCCCTCATAGTTTTGTTATGTCGTGGATCGATACGTCGCGAGATTTAGGGTGTCGACGCGTCCTTAATAAATCACAAACGTAAACGAAACCGCGGTCGCGCGTTCGCGCTTCAAAACCATCCGCTAAACCAGCCGCCGTTCTCCTTCGCGCTCGGCGGCGGCACCACCACCGCCGCCGCGCTCGCGCCGCTCGGCGGCGACAGCGACGTCGTCGACCCCTCCATCGCCGCGCGCTCGTGCGCGGCGACGAGCTCGGGGACGTTATTCGACGTCGTCAGCGGCGCGCGCTTTCCTTTCCCTTTCCCGCCGCCGCCGCCGCCTCTCCCGCCTCGGCCCTTCGCGCCGCCGCTACGCGACGCGCTGAGCGCCAACGACGACAGGTGCCCGCTCGGCGTGTACGGCGACCGGAGGAACAGCCCGCGCGCGCCCCCCCCGCGAATCTCGCGCTCGACGTCGCCGCGCAGCTCGTCGCGCAGCTCGTCCTTCACCTTGCTCGAAAGTTCCGCGCGTAAAACCGCGCGTAAATCCTCGCGAACCGCCGGCGCGAGGTCCGCCTCCAGACGTCGTCGCGTCGCCTCGCGCTCCGACTCGGACGCGCGTCGAAGCACGGACACCTCCGGAGAGAAGCGCGCTGCTATGGCGTCCGCGTCCGCGTCCTCGTCCGCGACGGTTGACGTTTCGCGTCCGCCTTTTTTTTCGCCGTCTTCCCCGACCCCCCCCGCCGCCGCCGCCGCCGCCGCTTCCTTCGCGCGCAACGCCGCGGCGCGCAACGCGTCTCGGCTCGTCTTCGCGCGTTTCCGCTCCACGCCGACGCGCGCGGCGGACTTCCAGCGCGTCACCGCCTTCTCGCGCAACGACTCGCCCAGGAGCACGGTCAGATCCTCCACGTCCTCGCTCAAAGCTTTCAGTCGATCGCGCGCCGCTCGAAGCTCGCCTCTCAGCGCGCGCGTCTCGCGGCCGTGATCCTCCGCGAGCGCGCGCAGCTTCGTGGGTGAACGCGTGGGTCAGTCGAACGTCTCACCGGTCAAAAGTTGAAAGGGAAGCGCGGGTGAAGAGTGACGACGGGAAAGGTTCTTAAGGAACGGCGTTCACCACGCGAACGGGGTCGTACGGGGAGCAGTCTCACCTTCGCGCGCAGGAGCGCCGCGAGCGCCTCGCCGTCCGCGACGGTCGACGTTCCGTCTTCCTCCTCCTCGAACATCTCGACGTCTTCCACGGGCGAGCCTTTGCGCTTCTTCGTCCCGGTCGTCGCCGGCGCGGGGGTGCGGTAGGACGCCGCGGCGGCGGCGGCCGTCGCCGGCGCCGCCGCGGCGCCGGCTCGGTCGAAGAACGACGGCGGCGCGTTCCGCGTCTTCTCGATCGCGCGCTCGGTCTCGCCGCTGTGGAGGTCCGCGAGGATGTCCACGATGTCGCACTCGAGCGGCGACGCCGGTCGGTCTTCTTCGGACTTCTTCTTCGAATCGTCGTCGTCGTCGTCGTCGACCTCTTTGACGTCAAACTTCGGAGAAGGTCCGCTCGATCGACGCAGCGGCGACGGCGCGAACGTCATCGCCTTCGGGACCATCCCCGATCCGCGCGCGCTCGGCGGCGGCGGATCCGGCACCGGCGCCGGCGGCGGCGGCGGCGCGTCGTCCTCTTCGCCGCCCTTCGCGTCGTCCGCCGCCGCGACGGTCGACGTTCCGTCTTCCTTCTCCCGCTCCTCGCACAGATTCGCGCCTCGCCACGGCGACCGGAGCACGCCGAGAGACGCGTTCACCGTCATGAGATCTCGCAGCGTGTGACGCGCGCGCGCGCCGCCGTCCGCCTCGCGCCCCTCGCCGTCGCCGCGCGCGCTCGTCGCCGCGGCGAGCTTCCTGAACGGCGGCGACTTCGATTTCGACGACGCGTCCGCCGCGGCGTCCGCGTTCTCCTCCCCGTCTCGTCGTCGTCGGTCTCGGAGCTCGACGCCGCGCGACGCGGGATGTTGATGATGCTGCGCTCGTCCCTCGCGCAGCCGTCGCGACATCCGCTGCGTCGCGTCCTCCGCGGCGGGCGTCTTCGTCTTCGTCATCAGCTCCGCGTCGCGCTCGCGCCGCGCGAATGACGACGCGCGCTCCTTCCCCGCGGCGGCGGCGGCCGCCGCGGCCGCGGCGATCCTCCGTTTCTGTCGTTGCTCCGTGCGCTTCCCTCTCCCGAGCTCCAATCCGAAAGCCTCCGGAGAGAGCGGCGTCTCGTCGAGCAGGTAATGCGACAGCTCGTCCGCGTAGTGCAAGATCTCGCCCTTGTGCCGCGCGAGCGCCATGATGACGCGCGCGTGCGTCGCGCGACGACGTCGACGCGATGCCGTCCGCGCGCGCGCGACTGGGGGACGGACGATGAACGCCGTGCGTTTCGGAAGTTCCCCTCGCGCCTCGGAACGCTCGCGACGCGTGCAACAGAATGAACGCGTGGTTATGGGCCTGTTCTGTTCTGTCGTGTCGTTCAAATCGACTCGCGTCGGCGTCTCAGATGCCGACGGGCCGTCCCGCGCGTCTGACCCGCGTCGTCGCCGTGATCGGTCGAGCGCGCGCCGCCGCCGCCGCCGCCGCCGCCGCCGCATCGCGAGGAACAGCGTCCGCCGCCGCCGCGAGCGGGGTCCGTCCTCGACCGATCGCGTCGCGAGGAGGAGCAAGAAATCATCTTGTTGTTTCTTCCTCCGCCTCCTCCTCCCCGACGACGACGATGGGAGGCGCCGCGAAGGAGAAAAAGCCGCCGCCGCCGCCGTCCACCGTAGGCGACATCGAGGACCTCGCGTCCAAGCACCCGGGCCTGACCTCCGCGCGCGAGCGCGCCCCGCGCGCGCGCGCGTCCCTCCTGGAGTGGTACGACGCTAATCATCGCGTGCTTCCGTGGCGTCGGAACGCGCGATCGACGCACGCGCCGCCGCCCGATCCCCCGTCCGAGGAATCCCTCGCGTCCACGGGGAGCGCGCTCGAACGCGCGCGCGCGCACTGGCGCGGCGTCGCGGAGACGGGCGCGAGCGCGGGCGTACCGCCGGAGCAGTACGCGTACGGCGTGTGGGTCAGGCGCGTTCTGCTTCTATTTTACACAGGTCCCCATACGACCCCATTCGCGTTGTGGACGCCGTTCCTTAAGGACTTCGCCCGGCGTTCCTCTCCGTCGCTCTCGTCCAATGAAACGTCCACGTCATCAAATAACTAACCAATCGCATCACTTCCCGCCACATCACCCACCAATCGAACGACCCTACCTCAGCGAGATCATGTCCCAGCAGACGCAGATCGATCGCGTGGCGACGTACTGGCTGCGTTGGACGGAGCGATGGCCGACCGCCGCGCACCTCGCGGAGGCGACGCAGGAAGAGGTCAACGAGCTCTGGGCAGGTCTGGGGTACTACAGGAGGGCGCGGTTCCTGCTCGACGGCGCGCGGTGGGTCGTGGCGGAGGACGGCGGCGGCGGGAAGATGCCGTCGGACGCAGCGTCGCTCGGAAAGGTGAGACTGCTTCCCATACGACCCCGTTCGCGTGGTGCACGCCGTTCCTTGAGGACTTTTCCCGTCGTCGCTCTTCACCCGCGCGTGCCTTTCAACGTTCGACCGGTGAGACGTCTCGCTGACCGATGAACACCACCCCCCCGCGTCCCTTTGAAGATTCCGGGCGTCGGGCCGTACACCGCGTCCGCGGTGGCGTCCATCGCGTTCGACGAGCCGATCGCCGCGGTGGACGGGAACGTCCTCCGCGTCGTGTCCAGGCTCGCGTGCGTTCGAGGCGGCGGCGACGTGACCAAGCCCGGGACGAGCGCGGGGAAGGCGTGCAAGGCGGTCGCGGACGCGTTGCTGTGCGCGGAGCGGCCGGGGGATCATAATCAGGCGCGTTCACACGAGGGTTCACGCGCTTCGTTTTTCACCCACCGCTCGGGTTCGTTCACTACGTTGTACTTGATCGCGTGCGTCGCCTTTCGACTGACCGACGATGGACTTTTTTTTTCGTATGAAATCGCCCGTCGTATCCAGGCGATGATGGAGCTGGGCGCGACGGTGTGCACGCCTCGGAACCCGAAGTGCGGGGAGTGCCCGGTCGCGTCGATGTGCGCGTCGAGGGCGCTGGAGCTGGAGGAGGAGGCGAACGTCATAACGGCTGGTAAGGAACCGTTTCGCGTCACGGACCTCCCGGAGAAGGACAAAAAAGCGGACAAACGCGAGGAAACCGTCTCCGTGAGGGTCGTCCGCGGAACGCGAGGAGACACGGAGACTGGCGCGGACGGCGCGTCGAAGAAGAGCGCCGCGTTCTTCTTGCTCGTGAAACGCCCGGAAGGCGGCCTGCTCTCCGGGCTGTGGGAGTTCCCGAGCGTCGTGATGGAGGATACCGACGCGGACGAGGACGCGTTGCGGGCGGCGGCGGATCGACTCCTCGCGGAGACGTTGCGCTTCCCGGCCGCGGCGTCGTCCTCCTCGCCGAAAACGAAAACGAAAACGAAACCTCTCGGGGAGATCGTGCACGTCTTCTCGCACGTGCGGCAGACGATGAAGGTCGAGCTCGTGAGCGTGGAGTTATCTCCGACCGACGACGGGTTCTTCGTTAATATTAACGCTCGAAGCGGTGACGTTTCGTCGGCGACGCCGGAGTGGAAGTGGGTCGCCGAGGACGACATGGCCGACGCGGGGCTGACGTCGGGCGTGAGAAAGGTGTACGACCTCGTCGTCGGGAAGAAGAACGGGAAGTGCGGCAAGTCGAAAGCGAAGCAGGCGCCGGCAGGGGCGCCGGGGGACAGCGCGATCGCGCGGATGTTCGCGAAGAAGGCGAAGACGGAGACGGTCGCGGAGTAGTCGGACCGGACGGATCATTTTTTATTTTGACCGACGATCGCTGTGCGTTTTTTTAATAGACTAAGGGCCGCGACCACCTGCTCCGCGTCGTCACTTCCCGCCGCCCCTCCCCTTCGCTCGGTCCTTCAGCCCGCTCTTCCGCTTCTTCGCCTCCGCGCTCGCCCTCTCCACCTTCTCCTCGACCTCGCGCTCGACCGCGTCGCGGTACCGCGCGAATCCGTTCGGTCGCGGCAAAACGCGAACACCGGTTTCGCCCTCGCCGCACACCCACACCTCGCACTCGTCCAACCCTTCGACGAGACGCGCGTCGTGCGTGGACACGAAAACGCCGCCTTTAAAAGCGTTTAATCCCTCGATCAGCGCCTCCACGGACTCCAAATCGAGGTGGTTCGTGGGCTCGTCGAGGACGAGGACGTTCGCGCGCGTCGCCGCGAGTTGCGCGAACAAGACGCGGCTCTTTTGACCGCCGCTCAGATTCTTCACCGGGGTCAGGTGCGCGTTCCCTTCGAGGCCGCTCTGCCCTAATAACTTCCGCGCCTCCTGCGTGGAGATCCCGAACGCGTCCTCCAAGTGCTTCGTCGCGTGCTTCGTCGTCTCCACGGGCAGGAGCTCGTCGAAGTGCTGGTCGTATCGACCGAGCGTCAGAGACCGATCCGGGGAGACCTCGCCCGAGTCTGGTTTCAATCGTCCCGCAAGTAAGCCGAGTAGCGTGGACTTCCCGCAGCCGTTCGGGCCGACGAGCGCGACGCGGCTCTTGGCGTGCACGCTGAACCGTAGGTCTCTGTACATCGGCTCGGAGCGCCCGGGGATCGTGTACGACGCGTCGAGGACGGCGATGCACGGCCGGTCGTCCTCCGAAGACGGAAACGAAAACTTGACCGCGTAGACGTTGGGCTTCTCCTGCGGGCGACGCGGAGTGGTGACGTGGAGTGATGTGATTCGTCAGATGTTTGATTTGATGACGTGGCATGCATAACGTGCGGTCGAGACGAGAAGCTCGCGGCGCGCGCACCAGAAGCGCGTCCGCGCGCGAATCCTTGAGCAGCTTCGCCGCCGCCTTCTCCGCGCTGAGGCCGCCTTTCGACTTCAACTCCGCGAGCTTCTTCTGCTGCGCGTCGAACGCTTTGCTCTGCGCTTTGAACCGGTCGTCCGCGCCGTTGAGAAAGTTCCACACGTCGCCCTTGTGCCTCGTGATCTTTTTCTGGAAGTGATCCAAGTGCAGCAAGTCCGTCGCGCACGACGCGACGAAGTCCGCGCTGTGCGTGACCAAGAGCGTCGCGGTTTTCGCGCACGCGGGGGACGAGAGGTAACTCGCCAGCCACAGCGTCGCGGGGAGATCCAGGTGGTTCGTCGGCTCGTCCAGGAGCAAGAGTCCCGGGGATATGAACAGCGCCTGCGCGAGCGCGGCGCGCATTCTCCTGTAGGCGACATGTGGCGTGGTGACGTGGAGGGATGTGATTCGTTAGATGTTTGATGACGCGGCCGAAGAAGAAGGAGAACCGAACGCCGACGCCGACGCACCACCCCCCGCTCAGCGTCGACAACGGCGCGTCCTGCGTCTTCTCGTCGAACCCCAAACCCGTCAATATCCGTCGCGCTCGCGCCTCCGCGGCGTACGCGTCCCTCTGCTCCAGCTGATCGCTCAGCTCGCCGAGCCTGCGCGCGGCGTCGGCCCACCGGTCCTCCCCCCACGCGCCGTCGCCGTCGCCCACCTCCGCCGCCTCCATCGCGGCGCACAGCTGTCATCGCGTTAATAACGAATACCGCGACGGACGCGCGTCGTTTTGTCAGTCGAAAGAGGAGACGCCGCGGTCGAACGAACGAACGAACGTTGAAACCGAGGGGAGAAGACGGGCGAACACGAAGTAAAGGTCCTTAAGGAATGGCGTTCACCACGCGAACGCGGTCGTATGGGGACCAGTGTGTAACAGAAAGCACGCGCCTCTTCCTCTTCGCGTAACAATCGCGCAGCGACGTGATCGCTCGCCACGAGCGCAACGAACGCGCTCCGCTCGCCAGCCTCGAGCTCCTGCGCGACGCACGCGACGTCGTGGACGTTCGCGCGCAGACGCCCGGACGCGATGAGACGCACGAGCGTGGACTTCCCGCTGCCGTTGGCGCCGAGCAGCGCGTACTTAGGGTCGTTCCATACGAAGCGATGTCGGGGTGGAGTTGAAAGGCGTCAGATGGAGTTGAAAGGCGTCGAGGGCGGGGATTGAAAGCGAGGGGTGGACCGAGAGAAGCGCCGGGCAAAGTCCTTAAGGATCGGCGTTCACCACGCCAACGCGGTCGTATGGGGACCAGTGTATAGAACGCACCTTCCGTCCGGGCATCAATCTGAGCTCCGCGTCTTCGAACAGACGCGCGCCGCGGACGCTCACGTCCAAGCCGGTGACGTCCACGACCGCGCCGGTGGTTTGGTCGGCGTCGTCGCCGCCGCCGCCGCGGACGTGGAGGGACACCGCGTCCAGGGCGCGCGCCCACGACTCTGGGAGCGAGAGGACGGGCGGACGCTTCGACGACGACGACGCGTCGTCGTCCTCGGGGTTCATCATCAGCGACGGGAGACGTCCTTCCTTCTCCGCCTTCGCGAGCTGCTTCTTCTCCTTCCCGGTGAGCTTCCCGCCCTCCGCGCTCTTGATCATCAGCGCGCGGAGCTGGTCGTCCAGGGACACGATGCCGAATCCGCCGGCGTCGTCAGATCCCTTCGCGTCGCCGGCGTCGGCATCGGCGTTTGCGTTTGTATTGGCTTTGATGGCATCGGACGCCGCGGCGGCCGCTTTCGCCTCCCGCCGCGCCTTCGCCGCCGCGCGCGCCGCCTCGGCCTCCTTCCTCTCCTCGAGCTCCCTCACCGAGATGGTGTTCCCGAGCTCGTCCGTCGTCGTCGCGCCCCTGTCCTTCTTCCCCATGGCGGCGGGCTCTGATGAACCGTCGCGTCGACGACGACTTGAAGCGCCCAGCGCAGCGAGCTCGCAAAAATCATCACGACGACCATCGTCATCAGATGCGAACGTGATGACGACGCGCTCAGTCCGCGCCGCACGCGACGCGCACAGGACGCTCCTCTCGCGCGCGCAACATGGCGTCCCACCTCGCCGCCGCGAGCGCGATCACCGCCCGGCCGCTCGTCGCACGGTGCGCGCCGCCGCCGCCGCCGTCGCCGCGCGTTCGATCGATCGATCCTTCGCGTCGCTACACTGGTTCCCATACGACCGCGTTGGCGAGGTGGACGCCGATCCTTAAGGACTTTTCGCGCGGTCGGAAGCCCGAAGTAAACGACGAACGAGATCGATCTCGATCGAACCCTAACGACGACCGTCCTCCCTCCCCTCCCCTCCTCGTCCATCAGGCCGTCCTCCTCCTCCGCGCGACCCCGCGCGCTCGCGCGCTCTTGTCGTCGCCGCGGCGCCCCAATCTCCGTCGCCGCGGACGCGCGCAACTCGTGGTTCCGATCCTGCGAGGAGCTCAACACTCTCGACGCGGACGTCGTGCGCAGAGACGAGAACGAGTGCGTCGTGAACACGTACGGCCGCGCCCTGGACGCGCCCGTGTTCACGCACGGGTCCGGGTGCGTGATGTGGGACAGCGACGGGAACCGATACCTAGACTTCTGCGCCGGGATCGCGGTGAACGTGCTCGGACACAGCGACCCGGATTGGGTCGAGGCGGTGTGCGAGCACGCGGGAAAGCTCTGCCACGTCTCCAATCTGTACCACACCGAACCGGGCGCGACGCTCGCGCGGAAGCTCACGGACACGTGCTTCGCGGACCGCGTGTTTTACTGCAACAGCGGCACGGAGGCGAACGAGGGCGCGATCAAGTTCGCGCGGAAGTATCAGATGGCAACGGCGAAGGCGAAGGACGAGAGCGCGACGGAGTGGGCGACGGAGACGGTTTCTTTCAGGCGCGTTCTATACACTGGTTCCCATACGACCGCGTCGACGATGTGGACGCCGATCCTTAAGGACTTTTGCCGGCGTCTCTCTCCGCCCACCCCTCGCTTTCATTCCCCGCCATCGACGCCTTTCAACGCCAACTGACGCCTTTGAACTCCACCCCGACAATCGCTTGTATGGAACGGCCCTCAGCAACTGCTTCCACGGGCGGACGCTCGGGTCTCTGAACCTCACGTGGAAAGAGGCGTACCGCACGCCGTTCGCGCCGCTGTCGCCCGGGCACGCGTTCGCGACGTACGGCGACCTGGACTCCGCGAGGAGCGCGATCGTGAAGGGGAAGACGGCCGCGGTGTTCGTCGAGCCGGTCCAAGGCGAGGGCGGCATCTTCCCGGCGGACGGCGCGTTCCTATCGGGTTTAAAAGAAATCTGCGACGACGCCGGCGCGCTCCTCGTTTTCGACGAAGTCCAGTGCGGCCTCGGACGCACCGGGTACCTGTGGGGTCACCAGTCCGTGGGCGTCACGCCGGACATCATGACCGTCGCGAAGCCGCTCGCGGGCGGGCTGCCCATCGGCGCGGTGTTGACGACGCAAGCGGTGGCGAACGCGATCGCTCCGGGGGACCACGGGAGCACGTTCGCGGGCGGGCCGCTCGTGTGCGGCGCGGCCAACGCGGTGTTCGACCGCGTCAACTCGCCGGGGTTCATGGAGAACGTCGTGAAACGCGGCGAGCAGCTGCGGTCCGGTCTGCGCGCGAAGCTGGAGGGGTGCGATCGCGTGAAGGAGGTGCGAGGGAGCGGGTTGCTCGTGGGCGTGCAGTTGGACGTCCCCGCGGGTCCGCTGGTGGGTCAGGCGCGAGACCGGGGGCTGCTGTTGTTGACCGCGGGCGCGGGGGACGTGATTCGATTGCTGCCGCCGCTGGTCGTGAGCGAGGAGGAGGTGGATATCGCGGTGGCGATCATCGCGGACCTCGTGAAGGCGCTGTGAGCGAGCGAGCGAGCGAGCGGCGGTGTTAGATTTTACGGCAATCATCATCAGTAAATTATTCCATTCGCCGCGCCGCATCAGTTAGTCAGTCGTCGCTTCGTCTGCTGCGCGTCCTGTCTCGTCGCTCGCGTCCCCAGACGAGATCTGCGCGCGCGGGGCGACCGCACGACCTCAGTCGCCATGTCGTTATCCCGCGGCGGCGAGTACGTCGCGCTGGAGGACAAGGACGCGCGGTCGTCGCTGATGACGCGTCGCGAGCAGGTGCGCGTCGGCGGCGTCGCGCGCGTCCTGTCCCTCCCGTCCCTCGCGTATTCCGCCACGTTTCACCATTCATTCATCTTTTCGTCCAGATCTGACATCCGTCCTCCGTCCCGTCCCACGCAGGCGGAAGCCGTGGACGACATGGACCGCGAGCTCGGCTCCCCAACCGACGCGGAGTACGACGACGGGCGCGTCATCGAGCGACCGGCGACGTTCTCCGAGCGCGCGGCGTCCAAGTTCGCGGCGATGAAAGAAGCGACCAAGGCGGCGATGTGCAAGATGAAAAACAAAGCGAAAGAGTTCGCCGCCGTGGGGGGGGGGTCCGCGTCGTCGTCGTCGACGACGACGCCCGCTCACGGCGTGCCGCCGTCGCAGCGCCGGGAGGTCTACGGCGACGAGCGGTTCACGCCCCCGCCGGAGGTGATCACCCCCGCGATGCGGCAGGCGCGGCTCGCGGAGCGGCTCGACGCCGCCGCCGCCGCCGCGGAGATTCTTTTCGAGTGCCGCGTCGCGTCGTCGAGCGGCGATCGCGGCGACGACGACCACTCCGAGATGCTGACGCAGCTCAGGGCGACGTGCGAGGAGCACCTGAACGCGCTCGCGTCGGAGGTGGAGTCGGGGGGGGTGGAGCACGAGCAGATGTTGGCGCGAGCGATCGAGGTGGCGGAACAGCTGGTCGCGGCGATCGGCGACGACGATGACGCGACGGCGACGGCGGAGCCTGGGGGGTCCGTGGATTCCGGCGTGGATTCCGGCGGCGGAGGCAGCGGCGGCGGCGGCGCGCCGGCGATGATTTCGGTGACACAAGACGCGACGCCGCCGCCGACGCCGCCCCCGCTCGTCGACTTGTTGGCCGGATTGGACGTCGGCGGACCGCCCGCGCCGCCGCCAGCGCCGGTCGCTCCGATCGCGCCGGCGGCCGAGGCGCCGCCGCCGCCGGAATCCACGCCGCAGACGTCCGAGCGGCCGTCGTCGCGGGAGGAGGAGGAGGCGATGATCGCCGCGGCGATCGCCGCGAGCTTGGCGGAGTCGCGGCCGGCGCCGGAGCAGCCCGCGCCCGCGCCGATCCCTCCTCCGCCCGCGCCCGGCGGCGGCGGCGGCGGCGGTAATCTCATCGACATCTGAGAGGCTGATGGATTCGAGAAGCGAGGCGGCGCGAGCGACGACTCGAAGACTCGTTCAACGTACTCGATTCACGATTTCAAAAAGCGTCGTCGACGGTGCTCGTCGGCGTCGAAAACACGAAAACACTACTGTAACCACCCACGTCCAATCACAATCCCCCAAGAAAAAAAAACACCTCTCATCGATCCCCTACAGTACGTACACCTTACTTGCCGCTCGGGACGAACGCCGCCGCCGAGGCGCTGGGCTTCCCCGGCGTGAACGCGGGCGCCGCCACGGACAGCTTCGCGACGGCCGCGGTGACGTTGGAGCCGTTCTTCGCCGCGGGCACGAACGGCGCCGCCTTCGCGGCGGTCGCGTCCAGCGCCGGGAGCGGCGGCGGCGGCGGCGGCGGCGGGTGCGGCTTGTTCCAGCCTCCCCCCGTCGTCGTCTTGCTCTTACCTCCCGCGCCGCCGCCGCCGCCCTTCCCGCTCCCGCCTTTGTTATTCCCACCCTTACCTCCTCCTCCTCCTCCCGCGCCGCCGCCGCCGCCGTCCTGATTCCGCGGCGGCGGCGACGACGGCGGCGGCGGTTTCGCGTTCGCCGAAAACGCGGCTGACTTGCCCCCGCCCATCATCGCCGCGAACGACGCGGAGCCCGCGCCCGTCGCCGCGGGCGACGCCGCCGCGGGCGAACCCGAACCCGCCGCGGGCGAACCCGCCGCCACCGCGCCGGTCGCTTTCTCCCCAGAGCCGCCGCCCGCGCCCGCGCCCGCGCTTCCGCCCCCCCTTGAGGCTGCGCCTTCCTTGACCTTCTTCGCCGCCTCCGCCGCGCCGGCGACGCCCTTCTCCGCCCACGCCTCCAACAGCTTCGTCCCCGCGTCGACGTCCGCGCCTCTCGTCTCGCACGCGGCGACGACGACGGCGCACGCTTCCGCGCACAGCGCGATGCCCCCGCGCGCGCGATCGTCCGGCTCGGACAGAAGCTTCAACGCCGCCGCGTGCGCGCCGCTTCGAGCCACCGTCGCGAGCGCGTCGGCGTCGATCGCGGAGTTCTCCCCCGCGTTGGCGTCGTCGTCGTAGTTTTCGCCCGCGAGCGCGAGCGCCGCGGCGACGGCGGCGACGATCACGGCGTCGCCGGCGACGCCCTTCGTCGACGCCTTGGACGAGGATAGCAGCACGTCGCGCGCGAGCGCCGCGTCCGCTTCCTTCGCCGCGCACACCGCCGCCGCGCGGCACGCCTGCAACGCCGGGCACGCGTCCAGGGCGCCGTCCGCCTTCGCCTTGGCGCCCACCGCGGTCTTGATGACGTCCCATACCGCCGCCGCAGCTTTCGGCGCGGACCCCGCGGGGGACGCCGCGCACGCGCCGAGCGCCGACGCTCTCGCCGCCGCCGTCGCGCCGCCGTCGCACTCCGCGATCATCGCGTCCAAAATCTCGCGCGCCTCCTTTCCCAACCCGCTCGCCGCGCACGCTCTGAGCGCGCGTTCGAACCACGGCGTCGTCGACGCGTCCGCGGACGCGTGCGGCGACGCGCGCGCCGCGCACCACGTCTCGACGAGCCGCTTCCCGGCGCCGTGCTTCTCGCACGCCTTGGCGATCGTCGCGTACGACGCGATGGGCAGGTCGGCGCGAACGCCCCCCGCGCGCGCGACGAGCGACGCGACGCGCGCGTCGCGCGCCGCTTCCTCAGCCTCCTTTTCCGCCTTGGCCGCGCGCTCCTCGCGCGCGGACTTGCCCGCGACGAGCGCCGCGGCGGTCAACGCCGGCGGCGGCGCGTCGAGCGCGTCCTTCGCGTCCTTCTCCGCGGCGTCCGCGCGCGTCCTCGCCGCCTGCGCCTCCTTGGCCGCGCGCGCCGTCGCCTTGGCGTCGGCTCTCAACCCGCCGACGACGTCGATCGCGTTCTTCCACGCGCCGCCCTTTTCGAAAGCCGCGAGCGCGTGCGTTACCATAGACGCGGTGGGCTCGATGCCCTCCTTCATCGCGCGCTGCCAGACGGCGACGGCGTCGGCGACGAACCCGCCGCCCGCGCACGCCTTGAGCGCGTTGGCGATCACCGCCGCGTCGGGGTCAATCTTCATCGCCTTGTACGCGTCGATCGCGGCTTGATACCGCTCCTCGCCGACGCACGCGCCGATGAGCGCGGCGTGCGCGACCCTATCGGGTTTGATTCCATCGCGCTTCATGTCGTCGAAGACTTCCCGTGCGTCGTCCGCCTTGCCCGCGCGTTCGCACGCGGCGAGGAGCGCGTTGTACGTGATGGCGTTCGCCTCCATTCCCGCCTTTTTCATCTGCACGAAGATCTCCAGGGCTTTGTCCACGCGTCGGCCCTTCTCGCACGCGCTGATCATCGCGCCGTAGGTGATCCCGTCCGGTTCCACGCCGTTCACCTTGCACAGCTCGAAGATCTCGAGCGCCTTGTCGAGCTGCTTGCCTTTGGCGCACGCGGATATGAGCGCGGAGTAGGTGTATATGTTCGCCTCCACGCCCTCCGCGCGCATCTCTTCAAACACCTCCAGCGCTTTCTTCCACTGCCGGCTCTTCCCGCACGCGTTTATGAGCGCGCTGCACGTGATCGTGTTCGCGCCCATGCCCTTGGCCTTCATGTGGTCGTGGAGCTCTACGGCTTTTTCCCACGCTCCCGCGCGGCCGCACGCTTTGATGAGCACGGTAAACGCGGGCGCGCCCGGGCGAAACGTCGACGCCGCGAGGATGCGCGCGATCTCGCCGACGCCCGGGCGCGCGTGCGAGATTGCCGCGGTCAGGGAGTCGAGATCTTTCGTCGGATCCCCCGGGTTGAAGTTCGCCGCGCGCTGCGGCCGCGAGTCGCGGCGATGATCGCGATGATGGGCGTTCTTTTATATGAGCGATGAATGTCGGGGTGGAGTTCAAAGGCGTCAGAAGCGAAGTTGAAAGGCGTCGCGGTGTGTCGGGATTGAAAGCGAGGGGTAGTGGGCGGAGAGAGACGCCGGGAGAGAAAGTCCTTAGGGATCGGCGTTCACCACGCCAACGCAGTCGTATGGGGACCAGTGTGAGATAGAACGCGCCTGATGATGATTTCCGCGAGGATCGCCGTTTCCGCCTCCTCCGCCCGCCGACGATCGTCGGTCGTCCGCGCCGCGGTCGTCGCCGTCGCCGTCGCGCGCGGACGCGCGTCGGCGCGCGTCGCCGTTTCCGCGCTCCGCGTTCCTTCCTTCGCTCCGTCGCGTCTCCGCGCGGTCACCCGCGTCGGACGCGTCGTCGCGGTCGTCGCGCGACGACGCGCCGCGGCGGCGGTCGGACGGCGGCTTGGAAGATTCGCCGCCTCGCGCGCCACCTCCGCGGGCGTCGCGGTCGTCGCCGCCGCCGCTCTTATTGCGGTCGCCGCGCGCGTCGCTCGCGCCGCGGTCGCCTGAGGGACGACGCGAGTTTTGGGGTGGGGAGGAGGGGGGACGGAGGGGAGGATCGTCGGCGAGGGCGCGAGGGCGCGGACCGGGGGGGAGGGCGACGCGACGCGCGGGTGAGGGTTTCGCGCGGCAGCGAGCTCGAAGCGGCGGCGGGGCGCGAATGAATGATTGCGCGCGTCGCACCTGAAGCGCGTCGCGCGGCGTTACCGCCGCCGCCGCCGCCGCTCTCTTTCCTTCCCACGCCCGTCGGCGCCTTCTTCTCTACGGTCGTCCATCCCTCGTCGACCATGATCGCGGTCTCTCGATCGCGACTAAACCCCGCGGTCGAATAAGGCGCGTCCGTCGCTCGACACGCGCGAACGTGGTAAATTCACGAAAAAGAGGGCGGAGCAAGAAGCGCGTCGCGCCCTCGCTCCGGCCGCGAGAGAGGAGCCTTCTCCGCCTTTCCGTTCGATTTCCGTCGGCGACGCTGACGGCGTCTTCTCGCGAGCGCGAACGACGACGACGAGCGCGTGTGCTCGAACCCGTGGCGTTGTCGACAGGACAGCGCGCGCGCGTCGAATGCGGATCGATCGAGTTGCGACTCGTCTTTTTGTTCCTCCGACCTGCTGCCAGCGCCGCGATCATGATGAAGCCGCGTGATCCTGTTTCATCGTGACCAGCTCCGGTGCATCGATCAGTTGAAAGGCCGAGACGCTTCTCTCGCTCAATTTGACCCTTCGCGCCGATCAAAAAGCTGCGTTTCGTCGTCGGATATTTGAGATGCACGCTTTTTCGGCAACGACCCAGTAACGGTGCGCCGCGGAGGCGGCCACAACCCGCGCGCGAAACGCGACGCGGTCGCGGCGCCATGCCGAGCACGCCCAAGGGTAAACCGCCCGGCGGCGGCGCGTTGCCGTCGTCGTACGAGAGCCCACCGGCGAGGTGCGTCGCGCGACGTCGCGCGCGGATCTCGCGAGACTCCAAGATTTCCTTCCCGTCGTCCCCCCCGAGGACAAATGCAATTCGTGCCTCCTCCGCGCCGACCCCGTCTCCGTCCCTCGCCCGCCTCCTCCCGTCGTCGCTCGCAGCAACGCGAAGAGTAAACGGCGTCTGAGCTCGATGTTCAGCGCGGGGATGAGCCTCCTGAAGAGCCTCGGAGGGAAGTCCGCGGCGAAGCGCAAGCGCGACGACGACGACGACGACGACGACGACGCCGACGCCTCCGATCGCGGAGACGGCTCGCCGAAATCCTCCTCCGAGAAGCGACGACGCCGCGCGAGCGACCCGGACGCGGACGGACCCCCCGGCGTCGGCGGGTTCATCACATCGAGCGTGCGCAAGACGAAGAGCAAGTCCGCGGCGAAGGGCGCCGTGGGCGGCGCGGAGGCGGGGGGTCCCGGCGCGGCGTCGGACCCGACGCCGAGAGATCTCGGAAAGACGTTTCAGAGCGTCGACGAGGACGTCGCGGTGACGCGTCACGATCGGAGCACGGGGAAGCCGTCCGGCGGCGCGGGCGGATCGAAGACGAAACGCAGAGGCGCCATGTCGTCGATATTCTCCCCGATGTTTTCCTTCTTCGGCGGAGGGAAAAAGTCGGAGAAGAGCGCGGCGGCGGCGGCGGGGAGAAAGGCCAAGGCGAAGCGCGCCGCGGACGCGAAGAAGGAAAAGGACGCCGCACAGCTGGCGGCGAAGAAGAAGAAACACTCGACGGCGGCGGCGAGCGCGCGGACGCGGGCGCCGCGCGGCGCGACCGGAACCGCCGCTACCGCCGCCGCGACGACAAAGTACGGCGCGACCGCCGCCGCGGTGGAGACCGCGGCGGCGCGGCAGGCGAAGCTCGCCGCGGAGGAGAGAGCGGCGGCGAACGCGCCGCCGGCGGCGAAGGCGGCGGATTCGGGCTCGGGCAGCGACGTCACCGAGGCGGCGGCGGCGACGGGGCCGGGGCCGGGCCAATCAGCTCCTGCCACGTCGACACCGCCGACCCCAACCGTCGCGGACGCGGTCCTCCGCGACGGCTTCGGCGCGCTGCAAGAGGACGAGTACGAGTACGAAGAGAACGACCCGGAGCTGGACGACGAGTACGACGAGGAGTTTGACCCGTGGGTGTTCATCCACGGACTGCCGCCGCTGAAGGCGCGACCGACCGCTTTCCACGCGCTCCTCCGCGATCGTTCGATTCGTTTCGTTTATTTCTCTTCACCCCACGTCTTCCTTTCGACGTATACTGTATATACCCGCTGACCGATGGAATCGCCCTCTTCATCGATGAACATCAGTCGTGCGTGCCGGCGAAGCGCGCGGCGATACTCCCGAAGAAGAGCAAGGCGGAGCCGAAAAACACGCTCGTCCTGGACCTGGACGAGACTCTGGTGCACAGTAACCTGGAAGCCACGGAGGACGCGTGCGATTTCTCGTTCCCGGTGACGTTCAACAACCAGCAACACATCGTGAACGTGCGGAAGCGGCCGTATTTGCGGGAGTTTATGGAGTTTGCCGCCGCGCGGTTCGAAGTCGTCGTGTTCACGGCGTCGCAACGCGTCTACGCCGAGCGTCTCCTCAACACGATCGACCCGGAAAAACGGCTGATCAAGCACCGTTTATACCGCGAGAGCTGCGTCCTCGTGGAGGGCAACTACATGAAAGACCTCTCCGTCCTCGGGCGGGATCTCTCGCGGACGATCATCGTGGACAACTCGCCGCAGGCGTTTGGGTTTCAAGTCGACAACGGCGTCCCGATCGAGTCGTGGTTCGACGACGTGTCAGGTGCGTTCTATACAAACGTTTGTTTTTCACCCAAGCACCGCTCGGTTTCAACACTCACTTGATCGCGTGGTTCCCTTTCAACTGACCGGTGAACTTCTTTCGTATGGAACGGCCCTCATCAGATCGACAGCTCCTGAAGCTGATGCCGCTGCTCGCGCGTCTCTCCGAGGTGAGCGACGTCCGGCCGCTGCTACGCGGGAAGTTTAACCTGGGGGATAGGATCGAGCGCGCGGGGGAGAGGGTCGCGGCGTTGCAGACGATGGCGATCATGTGATGATCGATGATCTGTTCTGTTGAGAGGATCTGTTGAGAGAGAGGGGGGCGGGGGGGGAGGCGGTTGGTCTTCGACGACGATCCGATCGCGGCGGCGGCGAACGGGGGGAGGCTGTTCGTTCGCAGAAGTACTACATACTAACCACACACCACACCACGTTGGTGCGCGTTGGTTTAGGACACCGCGAGCGCGTCGACTCCTTCGGCGCGATGGGAGACGACGCGCGCCGCGGGTTTCTTGTATCACACGACACACTCAGTCGACGCTGACATTCGTCGCGTCGATCGATCATCGCGAACCGCAAATCGAAACGCGAATCGATCGTCGACGTCGTCGTTCGCATCATCACTCATCACGTTACAATAGATATCGACACGACGCGCTCTGCTCGACTCGACGCGACGCGACGCGACGCGATGTTTATCTTTCGTTAACTCGCTCGCTCTCGCGCTCGCTCGCTCGCTCGCTCACGCCGCCTTGAGCTTCGCCATGAGAATCTCGCCCATCTTCGTGCATCCGACTTGCGTGCACCCTTCGGACATGATGTCCCCCGTCCTGTACCCGTCGTCCAAGAGATCGTTCACCGCCTTCTCGAGCTTCGCCGCGGCCTCTTCCTCGCCGAACTGATACCGAAGCATCATCGCCGCGGATAAAACCTGCGCGAGCGGGTTCGCCTTGTCCGTCCCCGCGATGTCCGGCGCGCTGCCGTGCACGGGCTCGAACAACCCGGGGCCGTCGCTCCCCACCGCCGCCGACGGCAGCATCCCGATGGACCCCGTCAGCATGCTCGCGGCGTCGGACAAGATGTCGCCGAAGATGTTTCCGGTCACGATCGTGTCGAACTGCGTCGGCGCGCGGATGATCTGCATCGCCGCGTTGTCGACGTACATGTGCGAGAGCTCGACGTCGGGGTATTCCTCCGCGCCGATCCGCGTGACGACTTCTTTCCACAGCTGAGGGTCGTTCCATACAAAGCGATGTCGGGGTGGAGTTCAAAGGCGTCAATTGGCGTTCAAAGGCGTCGAGGGCGGGGATTGAAAGCGGGGGGTGGGCGGAGAGAATCGCCGGCAAAAGTCCTTAAGGATCGGCGTTCACCACGCGAACGCGGTCGTATGGGGACCAGTGTAAGGAGAACGCGCCTGAGACACCTCCAGCACGTTGGACTTCTCCACGGAGCACAGGCGGTTCGAGCGCTTCTTCGCGGTCTCGAACCCGACGCGCGCGATACGCTCGATCTCCGGGACGGAGTAGATCATCGTGTTGAACCCGGTCTTGTTCCCGGCGTCGTCCACGCCGAAGCCCTTCGGCTTGCCGAAGTAGATGCCGCCGATGAGCTCTCTGACGAGGGTCACACAGGGTCCGTGCGAAGCGACGAACGTCGGGGTGGAGTTCATAGGCGTCAGAAGCGGATGAGTTGAAAGGCGTCGCGGCGTGTCGGGCGTTGAAAGCGAGGGGCCCTGATGGGCGGAGAGAAACGAACGCCGGGAGAGAAAGTCCTGAAGGAACGGCGTTCACCGCGCGAACGGGGTCGTACGGGGACCGGCGTGAATCAAATCGATCAGAACGCGCCTGATCACCATGATGTCGGTCCCTTCCACCACCTCGCGCTTCAGCGACGACGCGTCGATGAGCTGCGGGAGGATGTTCGCCGGGCGGAGGTTCGCGAACACGCCGAGACCCGCGCGGAGACCCAGGAGCCCTTGCTCCGGGCGCTGCTCCGCGGGAAGCGTGTCCCACTTGTACCCACCGATCGCGGCGAGGAGAACCGCGTCCGAGGCTTGGCACGTCGCGAGCGTCTCCGGCGGTAGAGGGATCCCCGTCGCGTCGATCGCGGCGCCGCCGACGAGCGCCTCGGTGAAGTCGAACGCGATGTCGTGCTGGGAGCCGACCTCGACGAGGCACGTTTTCGCGACGGCCATGATCTCCGGGCCGATGCCGTCGCCGGGGAGGAGCGTGATGTTGTAGTTCTTCGAAGCGGCGGCGATCGTCATGCGACGCGCGGATCGGCGCGATGAGGTCGACGACCGAGAGGGAAGCGCGACGACGCGACGCGCCGCCGAGGCGTCGCGCGCGCGGAGGGCGACGCTCGCGACGCGCGCGGGCGCGGCGAGGCGGACGCTGGAGACGGCGGCCATGATGTGCGCGTTCGTTAGGGAGAAGAACGAGTGGGTGGGGACGGTGCGGGCGGCGGCGCCGTCGCGGAATGCGCCGCGATCGCGATTCGCGACGCGTGAGCGTGAACCCTCGCCGGCACGAGCTCCGGATAAAAAAAAAGATCACAGCTGTGCACTGGCCGGACGATGACGAGGCCGGAGTTCGGGCGACAGGTTTGGCATTGTCGGGCCTCGCGGGCCTCGGGCGGACCGGCGCCGGGCGCATCGCGCTTCGTCGCCGGCGTCGTCGTCGTCGTCGTCGTCGTCGTCGTCGTCGTCGTCCTCGCGCGAGGTCTGGCGGCGCGCGCGGGAAACCCGGGGCGAACGCGGGGCGGGAGGACGGACTCGACCGGTCGTGGCCAATTGGTTGATTCCGTCGAGAGAGGAAGGAGATTCCTCTCGCGGTTTGAAGTCGCTCAGCGCGCGCGAAGGAATCGCTCGCGTCGGCGATGCCGCCTCCCCCCACGCCGCCGACGCGCACGCCCGCGACCGCTCGTCGCGTCGCGGACGAGACGAACGGCCACGGCGTCGTCGTCAGCGCGTCGGAGCTCCTCTGCCGCGCGGGCGACCGCGCCTTCTTCGGCTGGGGCGAACCGCGATCGCGCGAGAAAGCGCTAAACCTGTACGCGCGCGCGGCGTCCGACGCGTCGTCGCCGTGCGCGTCCGCGATGCGACGGTTAGGGCGGTGCTACGAGGAGGGCGCCGGCGTCGCGCCCGACCCGGACGCGGCGGCGTCCTGGAACGAGGCCGCCGCGGCGCTGGGCGATCCCGACGCGACGTGCGCGACCGCGCGCGTCGTCGAGCGCGCGGGGGATCTGCGAGGCGCGGGCGAGAGGTACCAATTCGCGGCGGACGAGGGACACGCGGGCGCGGCTTTCGAGCTCGGACGGATGTACGCGAACGGGCTAGGCGTCCGGAAAGACGCGGAGGCGGCGGCGTACTGGTACCAGCTCGCGGCGGAGCACGGCGACGCCGCGGCGCAGCGCGCGGTGGGCGTCGCGGGAATGGAGGCGGCGAATGAGAACGAGGCGAACGACCCCGCCGCCGCCGCCGCCGCCGCGCGAGAGGCGATCGAGTGGCTCGAGCGAGCCGCCGCGCAGGGCGACGCGGACGCGCTGAACGACCTCGCGATCGTCCACGAGGACGGGCACGCGATCGCCGCGATCCCGAGGGACGCGGAGAAGGCGAGGGGGCTGTACTCGAGAGCCGCGGAACGAGGGCACCCGCGCGCGAGGAACAACTTAGGGTTCGTGTACATGGCGTCCGAGGCGTACGCGGACGCGGCGGTTCACTTCCGAATCGCCGCGAACGAGGGCGACGCGGACGCGATGAACAACCTCGGGAATCTCGTCGAGAACGGGTTGGGGGTTCCCAAGGATTTGAGGGAGGCGCGGTGGATGTACGAGCGAGCCGCCGCGGCGGGCGTGGACAAGGCGAGAGAGGCGGCGGCGCGCGTCTCGGAGACGATCAGGCGCGTTCTGTTCTCGTCACACTGGTTCCCATACGACCCCGTCGGCGTGGTGAACGCCGTTTCTTAAGGCTGGACTTTTCTTCCCGGCCATCTCTCCTCCCACCCCTTCCTTTCAATGCCCGCCCTCGACGCCTTTCAACTCCACCCCTGACGCCTCCGAACTCCGCCGCTCGAAACATCGATCGATCAGGTCGGAGGACGCGGAGGAGATGACCAGGGCGCGCGATTCCGCGCTCGCGTCGCAGACGAGCGACGCCAACGCGCCGGGCGCGAGCGAAGTCTCCAAGCTCAACGCGCTCGTCGGGTCGTTCCAGACGATGGTCGTCGCGAAGGACACGGAGATTTACGACGCGAGGCGCGAGACGTCGCGGAAAGACGCGGAAGCCGCGCGCATCGCGAAGGAACTCGGCGCGGCGAAGGCGGAGTGCGCGAGGCTGAAGGCGTCGCTCGCGGCGTACGAGAAATCATCCAAAGCGCCGTCGCCGTTAGGGTTAGGGCCGTCGTCGGCGTCGGGGCCCGGGCCGCCGATCGTCGCCGCGACGGCGGTGCGGTCCGAGCACACCGCGCCGGGCGGGCTCTCGTCGCGTCCGCGGTTCGAGCGGAGCTCGAGCTTGCGGTCGGACCGCAGCGGCGCGAGCGGCGTCTCCGCCATCTCGTCGCAAAAGTCATTGACGTTCAGGTGTGTGCGTCCTACGTGCTGACTGGTCCCCGTGCGATCGCGCCGCGCGCGTTTCTCTCCGCGCGCCGCCCCTCGGTTTCGATCCCGACGCGCCGCACAGCTGTCGCGACTCCGAACTGACGCGCCCCCGAATGTAACGTGATCACCCGTCCTCGTCAGCGCGATGTCGACGGAGAGCGACGACGACGGCGCCAGGAGCGAGCGGAGTCAGGGTGGTCAGGGCGCGCGCGGCGCGGTCTCCTCGGGGAAGCAGCGAAGGGTCTCGACGAGCGGCGGCTCGCGGCCGAGCAGCGCGGCGACGCGGCGCCCGAGCAGAGCGAACACCGCGCCAATCGTATCTTCCGCGAGCGGCGGAAACGGCGGCGGCGGCGGGAAAACGACGACGCTGGCGTCCATCTTCGGCAAAGCCTTCGGCGGGAAGAAAGCCGGCGCCGGCGGCGGCGCCGGCGGCGGGTTCGTCGTCGATCACGACGCCATCGCTCGCGCGTCGAAGATGGAAAACGACAAGCTCAAGCGGTCGCTCGAGGCGTACAAGACGCAGGCGGAGCTTCACGAGGGGATGTGCGTCACTCTCGGCGAGGTGCTGAAGACGACGTACGCGCGGAACTTACAGCTCGAGGACCTGCTCAGGGATCTCGGCGTGGACGTGGACGACCCCGAGAGTCTCCGGTCGGCGGCGGCGGCGGCGACGACGCGCGCGCTGACGGAGATCGCCGTGACCGCCGTCGCCGGCGTGGACGTCTCCGAGCTGGAGGAAGGGAGGGCGCTCGGCGAGGGGGGTCTGCTGCGCGGCGCGAGCTTCCGGTCGTCGTCGTCGTCGACGCCGCGGGGGGAGGCATCGACCGAGGTCGCCGCGCTGCCATCGCCGCCGCCGCGGACGCCGTGACGGGGAGAGAGCGAGAGCGAGAGCGAGCGGAGGACCGAGATAGCGCCGGTGCAAGAGGTCACTCGTTGGAAAGAAAAAACGACGAGTTTCTCCAGTGGATTTTTCGAGTTTGGCCCGCGGAACCGAACCGTACAAAAAAAAATCATCGGTCAGTTGAAAGGGGACACGATCAAATGTTGACCCCGCGGGGTGGGTGAAAACCTTTCGCGTCGAACGCGCTCGATCGCGGACCAATCACAAAAGGCGTTAACACGCGTGGTGTCGAAAGAAACGGCTTTTCGCGCCCCATTCGAGGACATTTTAAACCGTCGTTCACGAGTCAGGACTTTCCTGACCGCGCGCAAGTCGTCGAGCGCGTAGTCCGTACGCGTAGTCGGCACTTTGCGCGCTCCGCGCTCGCGCGCCTTCGCCTCGCGTCGACCGCGCGCGTCGCGTTCAAACACACCGCGAGCGCGGCACGACCGCGCGCGGAGTCGCGGCCGGGATGAAGAACGGAAAGGTGCGCGCGGTCTCCCAGACCTGGAATCGCCCCCGCGTCGTCTCGCGGCGTCGTCGCCGCGTCCGCGCGCGCGGCGTCGTCGACGCGCGTTCGCGCGATTGTTATCGCATCTCGCGCGCTCTTCCTCCGCGCTCTCGAAAAACCGCATTGCCGCTCGCCTCGGCCGCGATCGCGCGACGCCGCGCGCCTCCTCACGCGACGCGCCGTTCCTCGATCGAACCCGCAGGTTGCGTTGCCCGCGGACCTCGCGTGGGTCCAGGACCTCGTCGCGAGCGCGTTCTTCGAGCCGTGCGCTAACCATCACGCGAGCGCGGGGAAGGGCGAGCTCGCGAATCTGTTTTGCGCGTCCACCAGCAAGACCTACTGCGCGTCGTGCGCGGGGGGAAGAGACGTCGTTCAGGTGCGCTCGCGTCCTCTCCCCGCGCCCGATTTCTCGCGCGTCGCTTAGAAAACACCCGCGATGATCCGGTCGCGCGATCGCGCGTCTCGTTTCGCGCTCGAATCGAGCGCGCGACGCGCGTTCCGGCGACGCGTCCGCGCGAAGGGTTTCCGATTCGTTCAAAGACCTCGCGGTAAAGAACGCGACGGACGACGGACGGGCGATTTCCCCGAATGTTTTGGGGTTCTCGCGCGCCCGCGTTCGGTCCTCCCGCGCGCGTATCGCGATCGATCGGACGTGGCGTTCGCCCTGGGGACCTGCCCGCGAGGGTTTCGAAGCGTCCCCGCGATCGCGACGCGGCGACGGCGCGCGCGCGGCGTCGCCGTCGCGCGCGCCGGGCGACCGACCTCGACCTTCGAGCGGTATCTTTTTACGTATTCGAGAAGCGGTCAAACCCGTGGTATCGATATCGCAAATCACGACACCAGCAGCGTTTGAAAGCGTAACGAGAAGACGCGCTCGCTCACCTCCTCCTCGCTCCTCTCTCTCCTCTCTCTCCGACCCCCGCAGGTCCGCCGGAGCTCGTACCACAACGTCGTCAGGGTCCAGGACGTGTGCGCGCTCATGGACGTCAGCGCGATCCAGACGTACGTCATAAACTCCGCGCGCGTAGTCTTCCTCAGGCGCGTTCTATACACTGGTCCCCATACGACCCCGTTCGCGTGGTGAACGCCATTCCTTAAGGACTTTGCCCGGCGCGTCTCTCCGCCCAGGGTCCCTCGCTTTCAATCCCGACACACCTCGATGCCTTTCAACTCCACCTGACGCCTTTGAACTCCACCCCGCCATCGCTTTGTATGGAACGACCCTCAGGGAACGCCCGCATCCGCGCGGAGGCAAAGGAAAAGACGGCGAGGAAAAGAAAGCGTCGAGCAAGCCGGGTAAGGAGCCGAAGTCGAAAGCGCGTCACAGCGCGTGCGCGCACTGCAACCGTCTGCTGCAGACGGAGAACTGCGACTTTTGTTCCATCGCGTGCAAGGTGCGCGCGGGGGCGGACATGCGCGCGAGCCCGGCGAGCGAAGCCGCCGCGCGGTTAGGTGCGTCCTCTGCGGTGTGCGCGCGTTTTCAAATCATTTCACGCACCGCTCGCTGCTCGGGTTCAACACTCGTTTGATCGCGAAAATGGTCCCTTTCAACCAACTGACCGATGAACTTTATTTACTCATTTCGCACGGAACCCCCACCCGCAGCCGCGCTCAACGTGCCCAAGGCGGAGGGGAGAGGCGGCGGCGGCGGAGACGCGGCGTCGAAAGCGAAGCGCGGGAAGGAGGGGGAGCCCGGGGCCGGGGGCGGGACCGCCGCGGCGAAGCGAGAGAAGAAGGAGAAGGAGGGAGACGCCGCCGCGAGAAACGCCGCGACGGCGGGGCTCGCCGGCGTCAAGAAGGAAGGAAGCAAGGGCAAGCGCAAGGCGGACGCGGACGCCGACGCGGGGGGCGAGGGGACTAGCCCCAGGACCCCGGCGTCGGCGAAGCGACCGGGCGCGGCGGCGGCGGACGAGAAGAAGGCGGGGTCCTCGAGCAGGAGCCGGGGGAAGTCGTCGAGCGGCGGCGGGTCCACCAAGGCGTCGCGCGCGGCGACGACGACGACGACGACGACGACGACGACGGCGACGACGACGACGACTTTGACGACGACGCCGGCGAAGCGCGGCAGGGACGCGTCTGGTCAGACGCCGTCGAAGAGCGAACACCGCGCCGGCACCGGACCGAACACGCCCACCGCCGTCGGCGACGCGGGGGCTCGACCGCGAGGCGCCGACGCGCCGCGCACCGCCTCCGCGGGCGCCGCGAACGCCGCGGGGAAGAAGAGCAAGAGCGTGTTCGCGGCGGCGAAGGAGGAGGACGGGAGCGAGAGGGGGAGCGCCGCCGCCGCCGCCGCCGCCGCCGCGTTGTTCGTCTCGAGCAAGCGGCGGAAGCCGTCCAAGCCGAAGCGCGCGGCGTTGTGACGTCGTCGACTAAAATCGCTGATTGCGATTGCGATCGCGATCGCTTGGGGAGACTAGGGACGGGGGACGCGACCCGCCCGCGGGTCGGGCGCGCGCGAACGAGACGGGACGGACGGACGGACGACGACGGCACGACGCGTGCATGCATGGAGTTTTTATGCGAAAAGATTCATTAAACGCACGCTCAGAGCGCCGCGACGCGGGCGCCGGCGTCGGTTGTTATCGATCGCGCGAAAGTTTGTTCTTCACAACAGTAGATACGTCGAAATTTCTGACTGAATGCTCATACGATCACGCGCAATTTCCGCGTATGACTCATCACTGAGTCCTCACGGAGGCTACAGGTACGCAAAGGACGTTCGTCATTGTCGCCGTCGCCCCGACGCGATGCCGCGGCGGGCGGGCGTCCTCCGCGCGGCCCTCCTCGTCGCGTGCGTCGTCCTCGCGCCGAGCGCGCGGACGGGGGAGGACGCGCGCGCGACGACGACGACGACGACGACGGGGTCGTCGCGGGGCGTCGGCGTCGGCGTCGGCGTCGGCGTCGCGCCCCGTCCCCCCGCGGCCTCATCATCATCATCTTCTGGCATCATCTCCCTCCTCGGCTCCGTATTCGGCGGCGGCGTCCGCGTCGCGTCCGCGGCGCACACGGCGTCGGAAGGCGTCGCCGGGCTCGCGGATCACCGTACCTCCGCGGACGCGACGCCGTCCATCGAGACGCAGTTCGGCAACCAGCACGGCCTCGTCGCCATCGGCATGGTCGCCGAGCTCCTCAACGAGCTCAACGGCGCGTTCTGCGACCAGACGCTCACGCGCGAGTACAAGTGCGACGCGTACGAGGACGCGCGGCAGCGCCTGTGGTTCACGTTCGCGAACGACTACATATGCGGCGTGGACGAGACGCAGTGGTCGAGCGGGGTGGTCATGCGCAACCTCGCGGTCCAGGAGCAGTTCGAGTACCTCCTCTCTCAGGCGCGTTCTGATTTGATTCGCGCCGGTCCCCGTGTGACCGCGTCGGCGCGGTGAACGCCGTCTCTCGCGTGAGGACTTTCTCTCCCGGCGCGCGCATCTCTCCGCCCATCAGGGTCCCTCCCCGGTTTCAATCCCGACACACCTCGACGCCTTTCAACTCCGCTTCTGACGCCTTTGAACGCCACCCCGATATCATCGCTTCGTATGGACAATTACCCGCAGTGCGAGACGCGATGGGACGGCGACCTCGTCGCCGTCGTCGAGGAAGCGACCGTTCTCTTCCTCGCGCAGTCGACGCTCAACCGCCCGGACATCAAGGCGGTCGTCATCGAGAACGACCGCAAGGCGGGTCGGAACGAGACGCTGCCGACGGACGATCTCTACGCGTTGCACCCGGGATTTTACGAAGACATCGCGCCGGCGACGACCAACCTCCGCGAGGCACGTTCTATGTATTTACACTGGTCCCCATACGACCGCGTCGGCGTGGTGGACGCGATTCCTTAAGGACTTTTCTTCCCGGCGGCGTCTCTCTCCGCCCACCCCTCGCGTTCAATCCCGACACACCTCGACGCCTTTCAACTCCGCTTCTGACGCCTTTCAACTCCACCCCGACGTTCGCTTCGTACGGACAATCACCCTCAGCCCGCGGTGGCGACGTGGCGCGTCGAGGTGGATTTGGACGGGCACACGCCGTACGCGGAGGGAGGCGTGCCGCGGCCGGAGGCGCTCGCGGCGAGGGAGGGGACGCTGCTCGCGGAGGATGGGCCCACGGAGCAGTATCCGGCGGAGTTCGCGAGGAAGATGAGCCAGGGCGCGCCGGGGAAGGCGCTGTACGAGAAGACGTATCAGGCGCGTTCGTTCTCCTTACTCACACTGGTCCCCATACGACCGCGTTCGCGCGGTGAACGCCGTTTCTTAAGGACTTTGTTTGCCCCTAATCGTACGCACCAATCGTCGGTCGGCGTCCGCGCGTTACTTATTATATCTTATCTTACCCCGCGGATATATCAGGTGCACCCGGATCCGAGGGCGCGTTGGGACGCGGCGTTTTGCGCGAGCAAAGGGACGTCGGACGCGAGTTGTTACCCGAGGGTCACGCCGAAGGTCGGGTACACGCACGACGCGAACGGACGGCGGTTGCTGACGAACCAAGGACAGCCGTTACCGACGGGGTACGTCGACGCGAACGAGCCGCGCATGTAGATGCCTACTACCCAAGGTAGCTAGCTAGCTAGAGAGTACACGTAGTTTAGAATCATCACGTGCAGTATGTAGACTAACTCGTCGCCGGATGTAGACTGCTAAGGCCCTACCGTACGCGTAATCATTCACGTGTTCAAATCGATGAGAAAGAACGGCTCCGTGATCGTCCCCGCGCCGTACATCTTCCCCTCCGTCGCCTCCGCGTTCGCCTCCACCTTCTCCCTGATCGCCTCCATCTCCTTCTCGCCTATCCCCGGGCACCCGCGGACGTCGAACGTCCGCAACACGTCGTTCGTCTAAGGGTCGTTCCATACGAGCGAACGTCGGGGTGGAGTTGAAAGGCGTCAGGTGGCGTTGAAAGGCGCCGAGGGCGGGGATTGAAACCGTGGGGTGGGCGGAGAGATGCGCCGGGAAAAGTCCTTAAGGATCAGCGTTCACCACGCCGACGCGGTCGTATGGGGACCAGTGTGAGATGGGACGCGCCTTCACCGCCGCCGCCAGCTTTTTCCCGTCCGCCTCGCTAAAATCGTTCGCGCCGACGTCGATCGAAATCAACGTCCCGCGCGGCCGCGCGATCAACTCCGCGAGCGCCGCCGCGGACTCGGACGCCAGCGAGCACGCCGCGAGGTTGATCTGCTGCGTCGTCGTGTTCTTCATCAGCGCTCGGAACACCGCGGCGCCGCCCGCGTCGCCGACGGAGTGATTCAATCGCAGCGAAAAAAAAGCGCAGCTCGCGTTCGTCGTCAACGCGGCGGCGACGGCGCGCGCGCCGTCCTCGCCAATCTTGTTGTCCGTCAGGTCCACGTGCGCGAGGACGCTCGTGGGGTGAAGCAACCGCGCGATCGCGCGCGCGCCCGCGTCCGCGATGAGATTCCGCGAGAGGTTTAAGCGGAGGACGCCGCGATTCGCGACGAGGCCGCTCGCCGCCACCCTGGAGTTGAAAGGCGTCAGTTGGAGTTGAAAGGCGTCGAGGTGTGTCGGGATTGTGAGCGAGGGGTGGGCGGAGAGACACGCCGGGCAAAGTCCTTAAGGATCGGCGTTCACCACGCGAACGCGGTCGTATGGGGACCAGTGTCAGGAAAACGCACCTCGCCTTTTCGTCGTCGATCAGGTTCCCCGCCAGGTCGAGCGTCAACAGCGTCTCCGCGCTCTCCACCGCCGCCGCGATCGCCTTGACGTCGCTCAGCGTCGCGCCGAACAGGCTCTTGTCGAACCCCATGCCGATTTCCTCGCCGGGTTTGTATCGCACGCCGAGCGACGCGAGCCACGGCATTCGTCTGAAGAGCATCTTCGCGTCGAACCTTCCCGGGAGACACACCACGTCCAACGCGCGCGCGTACTTGCCCGCGTACGACAGCAATCGCGCGAGCGCGTCGTTCTCCTCCGCGGTGCTGTTCGTGGCGTCGTGCGCGCGGATCGCCGCCTCGCAGTGCCGCTCGAAGAAGAGCTGCTTCCACGAGCGGCCGTGGCGCACGGGGTCGCAACGCGAGAAGGTCGCGACCGCGCGTCGCTCCCAGTAGCTCTCGTCGTCGATGAGCTCCCCCGCGGTCTCGATCGGGAGGTCCGCGCCGAGGATGTCCACGACGCGCTTGACGACGTCCGGGGGGAGCGATTCGAACGACGGATTCGCGTTGAAGTGCTTCGCGAAGAGCTCGATGCAGAGCTCCTTGAGCTGCGCGACGTACGGCCATCCCGTGCGCGCGACCGGGGGGTCGTCGGGAAGACGCGGCATCGCCGTCTTCGTCGCGATGATGGCCGCGTAGTCTACGGCGGCGGCTTGGGGGGCGCCGCCGCCGCCGCCGCCGCCGCCGGGTTTGGACGCGGACGCGGACGCCATCGCGCCGGGGGTCGGCGCGGCGACGACCATCCGCCGCGGCGCGCGCCCTGTTCTGCCCAATTCAGGCGACGACGCGCGCGGCGCGCTTCGACCGTTCGACGACCAAATCCGGCCATCGCATCTGATCGATCGATCGATCCGACGAAAACCAACTGAAGGCAAAAGCCACGACCGTCGAGCTCCTTCGCGCACTTCGCCCGCCGCGACACCGCGCGACGCGACGCGACGAGCATGCGGAAGAAGACTAAGATCGAGACCTCCGCCGGTCCGTTCGACGGCATCGCCGAGGACCTCGCGTGCGTCGTGTTGGCGCGCGTCGAGGACTTGAGGGACAGGCGCGCGCTCGCGCGAACGAGCAAAGTTTGGCACGCGGCGTCGAAGCGCGAAGACAGCCTCCCCGCGGACCCGACGAGGCTGTGCGCGTTCGCTCGCGCGTGTCGCGCTCATGGAAGATTCGAAGAGGCGGTCGCGTGGTGGAAGAGGGCGGCCGCCAAAGGCGTCATATACTCCGCGATGTACGCGCTCGGACACGCGTACTTGGAAGGTGAGGGCGTGGAGCGAGTCGACCACGCGGCTTCGTTCTCGTGGTTTCTCGAGGCGGCGGAGGCGGGCCACGCCGGGTCGATGCTCGCTGTCGGGATTCATTATCAAGAAGGCTTCGGCGTTGAGCAAAACGCCTCGAAAGCGTTCGAATGGATCCTCAGGGGAGCAAACGCGGGCTGGCCAGAGTGCATGACCGTCGTTGGTATGCTCTACATGATAGGCGACGGCGTCGAGCGAGACGACCGAGAGGCTTTTTGTTGGTTCACAAGAGGTGCCGCTTGCGACAGCGCAGATGCCATGGTCTTCCTCGGAACTTGCTACCAAGCAGGCCACGGCACCGAACGGGATCTTCATGAAGCCGTGATATGGTTTACGAGAGCTGCTGACATGGGTAACGATCGAGCAAAGCAGGCTCTACAAGAGTTGGACGAAGCGTTTACTGATTACTGGTTTACTGATTTCTCCGCATCTATAGTTAGCGATGACTGGTTCTCGCATCACTAACCGATGACGTTCCGCTATCTCTACGTTGAATCTACACGCGCGCAATCGCGCGCGTTGTTCTACTGCTACAACTAGTTGTACCACCACCAATAACACATTCTTTCACTCGTCGTCGCCCGGCGCACTCACCACGACAAGCTCCTCTCGAACGCCTCCGCGTGCGCCGCCGCCGCCGCGCTTTCCTTATCCGTCTTTCTCCGCTCGTAATACACCGGACAGTCCAACGACCGGCACTCGATCGCCTCGTTCCCTCTCCCGCCGTCCCCCGCCGCGCTCGACCCGACGCCAACGCCGCCGCCGCACCCGCCGCACGTTCGACACGTCGCCGCGAGGTGCTCCGCGCGCGTCTCCGCCTCAGCCGCGCGCGCGCGCAACGTCGCCGTCGTCGTCGCCGGCTCGTCCTCGCACGCCGCGCAGACCACGCGCGTCCCCGTCGTCATCTCCCCGCACACGGCGCAGTGCGACGAGAGGTAGTACGCGTCGACCGTCTGCTTCGAGGACGTCGCGGCGTGTGGGTTCGCGAGGAGACGCTTCGTCGGCGGCTCGCGCGGCGGCGGCGGGAGCTCGCGATACCACGCGCCGACGTCCGCGCCGACGAGGTCGAACAGCCGTTTCATCGCCGGGACGATTTGCTTCTCGACGTAATACCGAAACTGCACGCGGTGCCCTCGATGAACGCTCTCGATGAACGTCTCCGGGGACATGACAAGGTCGACGAGCCTCGCGCCGGGTTGCCCGGCGACGACGACGTACGGCACGCGCTCGCCGAATTTCGGCTCCGCGCGCGGATCGTTTTGAATCGCGACGCCGGCGACGACGGCGGCGGGCGGAAGCGTCGACGCGACGCCGCTGTACGTCCCGAGCCGCACTTCCTTCGCGAACGTGAACTCCGACAGCGGCAACCGACCAGCCATGACCTTCATGAGCTGCCGCTGGACGTGCCGCTTCACGAGCGACAAATCCGCGGTGGTGAATAACAACCGCAGCGACGCCTTCATGAGCTTCGTCACCGCCGCGCACGAGTCGCGGCGTTGCGTCTCGATCCCCTTCGCGTCGAACGACGGCACGAGCTGATCCGCGCTCTCGTACGCGTGCCCGACGTACCGCTTCTTCGTGGCGAGTATGCACGGCGAGTACACCTTCTCGAGCTTGAGCACCACCGGGGGAGGGTTCGCCGCGGTCACCGCCGCGGCGATCTCCGCGCCGATCGCGTGCGCCTCTCGAACCGACCGCCCGGGCATGTGCACGAACAGCGAGTCCGTGTCCCCGTACACGACCCTGCAGTTCCACGCGGGGTTTGCGTGGACCATTCGAATCGCGCGCTCTAACGTGTCGCGACCGCACTGCACGATCGCGTCCGCGAGCTCGGCCATCGGCATCCGACCGCTGAACCCGGCGGCGGCGTATCCGTACGTCACGTTCGCGATCAGTTTCAAACCAATCTGCCGCGCGTTCAACGCGCGCTTGCGCGCTTTCGCGCTCGCGGGCGCGCGCTTCAGCGCCGCCTTGACCATCACGCGCGTGTCCAGAATCTCGGTCAAGAGCCTGGGGAGGACGCCCGGGCGCGCGGACGGCGTCGCGAACACGGCGCCGTTGGGCGCGCAGTACACGCCGCCGCCGCCGCCGCCGCCGCCGCCGCCGCGCGCGCCCAGCTCGACGAGCGACGGCAGCACCCCGGGCGCGAGCGCGAACGCGTCGAGGACGCCGAGCTTCGCGGCGTCGACGAGGTGCCGCTCCGGGGGACTCTCGCGCGGCGCTCTGCCCAAGCACGTGCTGAAACACAGGTTGTACGCGATGACCATGGACGGGTACAACGACTGGAAATCCAGCACCGCGACGGGGTCAGAGTACATCTTGCTCTCCGGCTCCATGACGAGCGGCAGGCACTCCATCGCGGGCTGCCTCGCGACTTGCTCTTTGCTCGGCGACACCGCGAGATAGTTTTGCGTGTGCGCTAACCGAAGAAGCATGGATTCGACGCGGTACTGCGACCCGCGAGAGAGGACGCTGAAAAAGTCGATGCCAAAAATTCTCGCCTGCTCCGACGTCCTCGCGACGAGGTCCAGCTGTTCGAGCATCCGCGCGACGACGACCGCGCGCGAGCTCGCGTGATCGATCGCGCGCCAGCGCTGATGCGCCGCCGCCGCGACTACGGTAGTAGTACCATTATTCCCGCCCCCACCGCCGCCGCCGTTAAAGCCGTTAAAGTCGTCGTCGTTCGCGCACGCCCACCGCGACAGCGTTCGATGCGTGAACCGCGGCAACCGCCGCCGCAACACCGCGCGCGCGCACGCCTCCATCGTGTACGACTGCAGCTTCAGCTCCGTGCGCAACACCCTCCACAGGTTGATCACGATCCTCCCGGTGACGTGTAACCCAGACGCGTGCAGGCGGCCGTACTCGTCGTCCTGTCGCTCCGCCGCGCCGGGGAGCGACGCGGCGCGGGAGACGTCGCGCAGGAGGCCGATGCTGAGGGCCATTCCATACAAGCGAACGTCGGGGTGGAGTTCAAAGGCGTTAGTTGGAGTTGAAAGGCGCCGAGGGCGGGGATTGAAAGCGAGGGCTGGGCGCAGAGACACGCCGAGAAAAGTCCTTAAGGATCGGCGTTCACCACGCCGACGCGGTCGTATGGGGACCAGTGTGAGATAGAACGCACCCGAGCTTCGCCGCGCGGTCGCGGAGGTAGCCGACGGACGCGCCTTGAATTTCAAACCCGCACAGGACGTCCGGGTCCCTCGCGAGGACGTGCGCGATGAACCCTCTGAGCAGCGCGCGCTCGTCGTGGAAGTGGTGGACGCGGACGCCGTTCGGGATGGCGTCGAGACGCGAGAGCGCGTCGACGCGCGCGACGGCGGCGTCGGCGTCGGCGCCCGCGCCCGCGCCCGCGCCCGGCGGCGGCGGCGGGCGCAGCGCGAACGCGACGTCGTCGCGCGTCGCCCCCGCGTCTTCGCTTAACGAGCACGCGATGACCCTGACCGCGTCGTGCGCCGGGTCCGGCAGCTTATCCCCGCGCGCGGTCGCGACGATCTCGACGCACATCACCCCGAGCGTCGCCGCCGCCTCCGGGTTGACGTCCACGGCGCCGTCCGAGCGCGGCGACCGGCGGAAGTCGACGTCGTCGGACGCCGGCGTGTATTCGTTCGCGTCGCCGGAGGGGGGGGTGAACTGCGAGACCCCGCGTCGGGGGCGCGCGGAACGGCGGCGCGCGGTGGCGTTGGCGGTGGCGGCGACTGAAGGCGGTAGCGCCGCGGCGGGCGCTTCAAGTCCGGTCTCGCCGCCGCCGCCGCCGCCGTCGTCGTCCGCGTGCGCTTCGCATTCGTAAAACCGGAGCGTCTCCAAGTACGACGCGGGCTCGTCGTACTTCGGCGACGGCGGCGCGCGCGGCGGCGGCGGCGGCGGCGCGCGTTTAGGTCCGCGGTCGTCGTCTTCCTCGTCCTCGTCCCCGTGACTCCCGGTAGCGCCGAGGCCGACCATCGCGGGCCCGTGCGTCCTGGACGCGCCGCCGGCTTCCGCGCGTCCCCCGCCGTCGTCGTCGACGTCGGCGAGCGAGTCCAACCACGCGTCGAGTCGCGCGTCCGGGCCGGGCGCGCTCTCGCCCGCCGCGTCGCGATGACTCATCATAGATCCTCCTCCCGGGGGGATCGCGGACGACGACGCGCGGATGGAGAGGCCCGCGGGGGGCTGGAACGGCGACGGCGGCGGCGGCGGGCGGGCGCCCGTCTCGCGACGACCGCTCGTCGGCGTCGGCGTCGCCGCGGAGAGAACAACCCCTGGAGGCGGGCGGCGTTCGCGCGGCGTTCGCGACGCGAGCCACGCGCTGAGCGCCGCGCGCGACGGCGGCGGCCGCAGCGGCCACAACGCCCACAGTCGCCGCCGTCGCCCGAGTGCGTCGTCGTCGTCCGCGTCGTCGTCCTCGTCGACGATCACGCCGCGCCATCGTTCGAACGCGTCGTCGCCGAACGCGGGCAGGTCCCTCGGGTCGTCGGAGAGGATAACGTGCGCTCGTCCCGACTTCACGAACGGACGCGGCGGGACGTCGGCACGTCGTCCGTAGAACGGGCGCGTGGGCACGCGCGACGGGATCCCGTGGACGGCGAGCGTGGACATCAGCTCCGCGGTCGTCGGCGGCGGGGCTCGCCGGCGAATGCGGTACGTTCCTCCCGGCGGCGGCGCGGCGTCGTCTCCCGTCGTCGTCGTCGTCAGAGGCGGCGGCGGCTGCGTTTCGGATTCGACGCCGAGCCGCGAGGAAGACGCAGCGCGTCGTCTGTCGCCGCTCTGCCCCGGCGGGATCGACCACCCCGCGGCGACCGCGCACTTCTTGTGCGCGTATCCTCGCGACGGACTGTGGACGCCTTTTTCGTACATTTCTTCGTCGCACAGGACGCACACGCGCGGGCCGCCCGTCGAGGGGTCCGTCTCCGGCGTTCGTCTCCGGCGTTTCGATCGCGCGACGGACGCGACGCCAGAATCAATTCCCGGCGTCTCTTGCACCGGCGTATCGGAAGACGGAAGCAGCGCGCGTTTCGGCGTAGTCGCGTTCGCGCCGCCGCCGCCGCCGCCGGATGATTTAAGCGCGTCGTAGCACCGCGTGTGGGCGTACCCTTCCTCCGCGCCGTCGGGCCGCAGAGCCGTGCTGTACTTTCGCGGTTCACTCTTCGCGCAGTCGCGCCCGCACACGAAGCACGGGCCGCGGGACCCGGATCGCGGCGACTTTTCGACGACGACGACGAGCGGTGGCGGCGGTTCATCACGTTCCGACGGTTCAAGTTCCGATTCCGTCGCCGGCGCCGGCGCCGTGCACGCGACGATGTCCTCGTACTCCCGCTGCAGCGCGTCCGCGTCGTCCTCGTCGTCGTCCTCGTCGACGACGACGCCCTGCGACAGCGCCGCGGACGCGATGGCCGCCAGCGACTGCCTCAGTTTACCCATCGCTTCGAAGTCGTCGTCGTCATCGCCGTCTCCGTCGCGAGTCTGCTTTTTCTTCTTCTCCGAGGACGCCGCGGGGTCGCCGCGCTCGTCCTCCTCTTCTCCGAGGGTGTTGCTCACGAGCTTCTCCACGATGGGCGCGGACGCCGGGGTGAACGGCAGCGAGAGGTCGACCGCGCCAAAGTCGCGCGGGGACGAGACGCCGCCGCCGCCGGCGGCGGCGAAGTCCTCCATGGCGATCAACTCGCGCTCGAGCCTCTCTTGCGTCTCAGGCCCCGCGGGCGTTTCGCCGCCGCGCGCCGTCTCGCCGATCGAGGACTCGAGCCGCGCGCGCTGCCGCTCGCGCAGCGCCCCCGACGGCTGGCTGATCGCGTCGATCCCTCCTCCTTGGCTCTGACTACTCCGCGGCGCGGCGACATCGTTCGCGGGCGAGCACGACGCGAAGAGGCGACCGCGCGGCGTCGGCGCCGGCGCCGACGCCGGCGCGTCCTCCGACCGCCGCGACTGCGAGCTTCCTTGCGACAGACGCGACGCCGCGCGCCGCCGCGACGCGCCGCCGCCGTCGCCGCCGCCGTCGTCGATCGCGTTCGCGTCGACCCCCCACGCGTCACCGCGCTCTTCCCTGAGGATATCCTCCAACGTCAGCGCGCCGCGAATGCCCAACGCCTTCTCCGCCGCCGCGGCGTCCTCGACCCGTCGCGTCAACTTCATCGCCTCGCCGTCCGGCGCGATCGTCTCTCTCCGCGGCGGCGGCGGCGCGCGCGCCGGCGGCGTCGACCCCTCCGCGATCGCTCGTCTCGTCTCTTCCTCCCACACCGGCACGAGCGACTGCACGAGTCGCACGGTGTCGTCCGCGGCGTGCAGCGGGCGTCGGACGACGTCTTCGACGTTTAAGACGTCTTCGATCGAGACGTCGCACTCGAGCTCGACGTCGGAGGTTCGCGGCGGCGGGTCCGTCCACCCGTGCGTCGAATCGGAGAGACTCAGGCTCAGGTCCGGCGGGGTCGAGATGTCGACCGTCGAAGCATCCCCGGACGCGCGCGGACGCGGCGGCGGGACCTTCTTCCACGACGAAGGGACCGTCGCGCGCGTCCACACCGGCGGTCGCTCCGGCGGCGGCGGCGCCGCCGCGTCGTCGACGCTCGGCGGCGGCGGCGGCACGTCCTCGTACTCCAGCTCCACCGGCGGCGCGCGTCCGGCGGCATCGTTTTCGTTTCCTCCCGGACCATCGCCGCCGCTCGAGAACGCGAACCGTCGCGGCGCGCGGCGTCGATGCAACCCCCCGTCCCACCACCGCGGCAGCCGTTCTGGCGATCGAAACGTCGCGCGTCGCGCGCGCAGACACCCCATCCCGTGAAGATTCAGATCCACCATGACCTGCAACACGTACGGCACGTGCGACTCGTGCGGCTGAAAAACGCGGTTCAGCACCATCCCGGAGAGCATCGCGTTCGCCGCGCGCGTCACGACGCTCGGGTCGTACATCCGAAGCTTCACGAAGAGACGCTCGGAGACGTGGTAGCCGTACAGCGGCCGCGCGCGCACGACGGCGGCGTCGTGGACGTGCCGGCGTCGTCGCGGCGGGACGTTGATCCTGGAATGAGGAAGAGCGACGCGCGCCGGCGGCGCCGGCGTCGTCGTCGCTCCCGCCGTCGCGTCGTCGTTCGCCGCGGCCGCGGCGGCGAAGGACGTCGACGACGACGACGCGTCGATCGCCGAGTCCAACGCCCTCGCGAGTCTCTGCAGGAACGCGCCGCACTCGCCCGGGTCCGTGGGAAACGCGTCGTCGTACGGGACGTAGAAGTACGGGAACGCGCCGTGGACGTGCGCGCACGCTTTCTGCCCGCCGGGGGTCTCGCCGAAGACGCGCACGACCGGGACCTGCGCGCGACGGGGGCGAAGGCGGGCGGGGGACGGTCAGCGGACTGGCCGGGAATGGGGGGGGGTGCCCATATTGCGACGACGGACCTTATGCACGGGCGCGTCGTTCGCGAACGCCGCGCGCGTGACGTCCAGCCCCGGGACGGGTTCGCGGAGGTAGTAATCGATCGTCACGAGCCGCAGCGCGAATACGTCCCTCGCGGCGGCGGGCGCGTCGTCGTCGCGCGGCGTCGCCGGCGCCTCGGCGACGCCTCCGAGGCTCGCCATCGCGACGCCTCGACGGACGATGTGATTTCGACGAACGCGCGCGCGGTCCGCTACCGCGTCGTCGCGTCCGCGTCGCGCGTATCGCGATCCCCCATCGCGCCGACGAGGGGCGGCGTCTCGTGCGAGTGAACCTCGCGTCCGTGCGCGCGCGGGGGCAAGTGACGACGCCGGATCTAGCGACGAGCGACGAGCGAGAGACTGTTTTCCTCTTCAAGTCTGCAGCAAAAGTGCCAGCTGGCGTGCGCGTGCCAACAGAACGCAATCTTGGCACACCTTCGCGCGCGCACCCGCCGCGTCGCGAGCGCGACGTCCGCGCGCGATCGCGCCGAGATACTCCCCCTCGCCTCTCCCCGCGCGCTTTCGGACATGACCAGCCCGCCGATCGTCGGCGCCGGCACCGCGGAAGTCGCCGACCTCGTCCGCGCCTTCTCTAGATCTCACATCTCGGCTCCCGCGACCGTCGCGTTCAGCAAGGAGCAGAACGACGCGCTGAACGCGGTCGAGAAGGGCGAGAACGTGTTCGTCACCGGCGTCGGCGGGACGGGGAAGTCCGTGCTCCTGCGCGAGATGCGCGCTCGGCTCGAGGCGCGGGGGAAGGTTGTGTGCATCGCCGCGCCGACGGGGCTGGCCGCGGAAAACATCGACGGATGCACCGTGCACGCAGCAGCCGGGATCGGCGTTTCGAGTGACGTGCACGGGTTCGGATACCTCACCCAGCTGCACAGGAACAGGATACAAAACTACGACGTGCTCATGATCGACGAGGTGAGCATGCTCGCGGGGGAGTTCATCGATAGGCTCTCGGAACACTTCTCACAAGCGCGCCAGAACTCCAGACCGTTCGGCGGTTTGCAGATCGTGTTTTTCGGGGATTTCCTTCAGCTCGGTCCCATCGACAACACGAAAAGACGCGCGAAGGAGAAGAAAGGGTTCTGTCCTTCGCTGTTCTTGGATCGAGGCTTGGCGTTCGAGAGCTGGACGTGGAGTGCGCTGGAGCTCAAGTACGTCGAGTTGAAAAAGGTTTTTCGGCAGTCGGACGAAGCGTTCGTGAACGTGTTGCGGCGGATTCGCCTCGGCGATCGAAACGCCGCGGACGACTTGAAGGTCATGCTGAGCGAACTGAGCGAGGACCCAGCAATGGCAGCCGCGTTACAGACGTCGCTCGATCACAGCGCCGCGAGGGTGGCCATCGCGGTCGGGAAGAGCAACGGCGGCGAAGGATTCGAGGCGTTGAACGCTGAGGAAATGGACGCCGCGAAAGCGGCTGGCGAGGACCCAGCAATGGCAGCCGCGGCACAGGCGTCGCTCGATCACAGCACGCCGGTACGCGATGCACCGAGATTAAGTATACCCATAAGTCGCGGAAGTCGCGGCTGCGTCGTCGTCGCGGGCTGTCGCCGCGTCGCCCCCCGCGCGGGCTGCGGTCGGACTTCGGGATCGCAGACGACGTTCAAGCCCCTCAAGCTCGTCTCTAAGGTTGACGAGGCGACGAAGGAGAATCGAAAGGCGTTGAACATCTTGAAAAGCAAGCCTTTCTATTTTGAGGCGGAAGACGTCGATGACGTGGACAGCCGGCTCGCCCCAGAGAATTACGCCGCCGCGGAGAGACAGCTGAAATACCAAGCGAACAAAATCCTGAGTAAATGCCGCGCGGAGAAGAAACTCGAGTTGAAGGTGGGCGCGCAGGTGATGATGATGAAGAACATGGATGTCTACCTCGAGGGCGAGGACGAGCCGAGAAGACTCGTGAACGGCAGCCGCGGGACGGTTACGAAATTTGTCGACGTCCGCAACACGGTGCCTGAGCTCGAAAAGCAGGTGAAGAAAGTCGAGGAGGACTTGGAAAAGACGCGCGCTACGCTCTCTGACGAGGAACTCAAGCGCCAGACGGACAGAATCAACAAGCTCAAGATGCAGCTCGCGTGGATAGACGCGCAGCCGACGCTTCAGCTGCGACACGATCAACAAGCCCGCTCCGCGACGGTTCCGTTTGTGTTATTTAAAGGGTTCCCGAAAGCGGTGGCGGTGTTCCCGGAGGAGTTTAAGTTCGAGACCGTCGGTCTCGGGTTCAACATCCGGCGCCAAATACCGCTGCTGCACGCGTGGGCGATCACGATTCACAAAGCGCAAGGCATGACCTTGCCGAGCGTGCACGTGTTCGCCGGAGAAACGTTCGCGGACGGGCAGGTGTACGTCGCGTTGTCGCGCGTGCAATCATTAGAGGGTCTCCACGTGGACGGGCTCACGGGGGATAAAATCCTGGCGTCGTCCTCGGCGAAGGCGTTCTACGACAATCCGAGCTCGCCGGGGAGTCACCGATGGTGGCATAGACGCCCGGCTTTGGGCGCCGAGCCGGATCACTTCGCGACGGTGCTGAGAAAACTTATCGATTCGCGTGGCGAGGAGCCGAAAGACGCGTTGGCGCTCAGCGAGTTGAAAGGTCCGTGTAACGAAGACAGCGAGTGGCGGTGCGAGGTTTGCAAGAGGAGCTCGCAGAGCTGCTACGACGTGAAAGACAGCGTGCGTCGCACGTATCCTCAGCCGGCGCGAAAGCGCCAACGCGAAGAAGAAGACGTGTGCGAATCTATCGGCGGCGGCGGCGGCGGCGGCGCGGCGGCGGCGAGCGTCGTCGTGGATCAAGAGACGACCGGGACGGAATCGTACGAGGCTGTCCATCCCGGGAACACGACGGGGACTTTGTCGTACGACCCGGACGACCCGGACGACCCGAACGTCGCTGGGGGGACGCAGCGCTTTGACCCGGACGCCGCGAGGGTGGCCATCGCGGCCGGGAAGAGCAACGGCGGCGAAGGATTCGAGCCGTTGAACGCTGAGGGAATGGACGCCGCGAACGCGGCTGGCGAGGACCCAGCAATGGCAGCCGCGTTACAGACGTCGCGCGATCACAGCGCCGCGAGGGTGGCCATCGCGGTCGGGAAGAGCAACGGCGGCGAAGGATTGGAGACGTTGAACGCTGAGGGAATGGACGCCGCGAACGCGGCTGGCGAGGACCCAACAATGGCAGCCGCGGTACAGACGTCGCTCGATCACAGCGCCGCGAGGGTGGCCATCGCGGTCGGGAAGAGCAACGGCGGCGAAGGATTCGAGCCGTTGAACGCTGAGGGAATGGACGCCGCGAAAGCGGCTGGCGAGGACCCAGCAAAGGCAGCCGCGTTACAGGCGTCGCTCGATCACACGCGGGTACGCGATGAACCGAGATGAACCGAGATGAACCGAGAGCGAGATGATAAAGCCGTTTCAACGTTTTTTGCGGTTTGAAAAGTACCTTTGAAAATACATTTTCGAAACCATGTTTGACCCTGGCCGATCGCTCGCTGCGTCATGTGATCAGATTTGCCCCGAGCGACCTCCGAGGCGACCTTCCGTCATTCTCCGAGGCGCGGCACTCTCGGACGACGCCGCGACGGACGCCACCGCGGTTCGCGAGGTTCGACGTTCGGCGCCGCGCGAGACTTCACGCGACCCGCTCGCCCGCCGCGCGATCTTCGGAAGCCGCGCGCGCGCTAACGCGGTCGTCGTCGTCCGCGACCCGCGTCCCCTCGACGTCCGAATCTGACGCGGAGAAGGAAGGGTCAGGTCAGGTCGCGCGCGAGAAGGCCGCGGGCGGACGCGATGGACGCGGCGTCGAAGATGCTCGCCCTGAGCGGGCAGTCGAAGACGCAGACGGTCACCGTCACGGGTGCGCGCGCCTCCGCGCCGGCCCTCGTCGTTCGCTTTCGTTCCTCGTCGTTCGCGCGTCGTCGTCGTCGTCGTCGTCGTCGTCGTCCGCTCGAATCTTCTAACCTAGCTAGGAGGAATTGCCGCGCGCGCGCGTCCGTCCGTCGTCCAGTCCGCCTCACGCCCCGCGAATCTGACCCGCGACCCTCCCCCCCCGTCCCCCTTCCCGCGCGGCGGCAGGCGAACACGAGCACGTCATCAGCGGCTACTCCCTCCTGAAAGGCATCGGCGACGGCGAGCCGATCGCGTCCGACCGGTTCACCGTCGGCGGACACGAGTGGGTACTGTTATTTTACCCCGACGGCAAAAAAGGCACCGACGCGGCGGCGCAGGCGCGCGGCGACGAGGACCCGTACGCCGCGCTCTTCGTCGCGCTCATCGGCGAAGGCCCGCGGCCGCAGGGGGTCGTGACCTCGAGCAGCGGCCAAAGGGTCGTCCGCGCGTTTCATCGCTTCACGCTCGTGGATCAGAAGAGGGTCAACGGCGGCGGCACCGACATCACGAAGGGTCGCCAACGCGATCAGGGCGCGGTGAAGATCTCGTGCGCGAAGCAAGATCCGAACGCGCGCAACTGCCACGGGTACCGCAAGTTCGTCCGAAGAAGCGTCCTGGAGAAGCCCGAGAACGGGTACCTCGTGGATGACACGATCGTGATCCGGTACGAGATCGAGCTCGTCGTCACGAGCGGCGGCGCGCTGAACCGGCCGTGCAAGACGAGCGCGCTCAACTCGATCGACGTGCGTCGGTTTCCGACGCTCGGGGATCAGATCTCGACGCTGCTGCACGACGAGCTCGACTCCGCGGACTGCGTGTTCGAGGTGGAGGGCGAGCGGTTCCCCGCGCACTCGCTGGTCATGTCCGCGCGAAGCGCCGCGTTTCGCGCGATGCTGCGCACGGGCGCGGAGATGCGAGAGGGCAGCGAGGGTGTCGTCAAGCTGGGCGACATTCGCGCGCCGGTGTTTAAGCTGCTCCTGAACTTCATCTACAGCGACCGGTTCCCGGGGAGCGGGCCGGGGGAGTACCAACACGGAGGAAGGGATGGGAGTTTGGACGACGAGGACGGATCCGCGGCGGCGCACCACGCGCTCGACGGCGGCGGGCCGGGGAGCGGCGCGCCCGGTCGATCGCCCGACGGCGGCGTCAACCAGTTCGCGCGCATCGTCGGCGGCGCGCACGTCGGCGCGGGCGGGCACGCGATCGGCGCGCCGGAGGCGCCGGCCATCGGCACCGCCTCCGCCGCGCGCGCGGCGGCGGCGTCGGCGTTGGCGGCGTCGGCGGCGGCGGCCCGCGGAGGCGCCGACGCCGACGCCGCGGGAGGAGCGACCGGGACCGGGACCGGGACGGGACCCGACCTCGGAGGCGCGGGCGCGGCGTCGTCGTCGTCGTCGTGCCACGAGGTGGACGTCGCGATGACGCAGCACCTCCTCGTCGCCGCGGATCGATTCGACCTGACCCGCCTCCGCGCGATGTGCGAATCGCGTCTGTGCGACATGGTCGACGTCGACACCGCGGCGACGACGCTCGCGCTCGCGGAGCAGAACCACGCGCACGCGTTGAAGCACGCGTGTCTGGAATTCGTCGCCGGGCACCTCGCGGAGGTGATGAACACGGACGGGTACAAGCACATGGAGCGGTCGTGCCCGCAGCTCGCGTCGGAGCTCTTGAGGACGGTCGCGGCGTTGAACGCGCAGCAGGCGGCGGCGGCGAACGTCGCGAGCGTGAACGCCGTCGTCGTCGGCGGCGGCGCGGGGCACCAGGGGCCCGGGCACCAGGCCCAAGGGCTCCAGCACGCGCCTCCGCCGCATCCGCACCACGGCGCCGGCGGCGGCGGCGGGCATCACCACCACGCGTCTTACCCGCCGCTCCCGCACCCCGCGGCGCAGCAGCAGCAGCAGCAGCAGCACGCGGGGCACGGGGGCGTCGGCGGGCTCGCCGCGCTGCCGCCGCCCGCGGGTCACGGCGCCGCGCAGGCGCAGGCGGCGGCGCAGCAGGGCGTGCCCCCCTCGCACGACGCGGCGTTTGATCTGCACGCGGCGGCGGCGGCTGAGGTTGGCGGAGGGCACGGTCCGGGCGCGGATCAAATCGCGAGCGCGATGCCGGTGACGACGCCCAGGACTCTGGGGACCGCCGCCCAGGCCTACGCCGCCGCGTCGCCCGGGTACGCCCCGAATCTTTCCTGGGAACCGGTCGCGCCGCCGGACGACGCGGTAACGCGCGCGCCCCGAAGCGGCGGAAGAAGAGGAGGAGGAGGAGGAGGAGGAGGAGGCCGCGGCGACGCGCGCGG